AACTGAGTCGGCGACAGAGCAACAATGGTTCCCACAATTTCCCTTTACCTTCAAATCACAAGAAAACTTCCTTTCACCAACTGTGGATCTCTAATCACAATCCCTTGCAACACATTGTGACTGTATTTAATAAAGATCTTGTTAATCACTTCAATTCCCCTAGCCCTTATTCACTATACATTATGACGATTGAGCGGCTAGTGGAATCAGATGAGTCTTGGTCTGGATTTTTAAACTACAAATTATTAAAAAAATAGTCCTCACAGAATCCAAAGTATCTCATTCTCTATACTGAAATCATAATCATGCATAGAAAGTCACTAAAAACCAGGGCTGTATAGATGACAAAGAAGGTCAAAACTCAAATGACCAAAAGGCATAGACATCGATGGAAGGAATAACTTACACTTGATGTTACTAAACCTGGATTGCAATTCCATGAATCTTGGATTAATTCCAGATTCAAAAAAGCAAAAAAAAAACAAACAAAAAAAAACTCAAATCACATGGCTAGATGAACTCAACCCTACAATTTAATGCCGAGAGAAAAGCGGCAGTACTATAAGCAGCATAGATGTGATACCAAATAAACATTTTCTGCCCTGGAAACCTGAAAGGCATGAAAAAATAGTAAAGAATCAAAGGCAGCAGAACACCAATATGTATTTCAAACCAAGGAGGTCGTGCTTTGGCGCATTAAGAATGTTATCTAAAATTAGCAATAAACAGAGATGAACTCTAAATTTCAGAACTAAACCTGGTCACTATCCATAGGGAAAGCAATAGGACACTCTTAAAGATCCATAAGTGGCATCCAACTCCAAAGGAAAAAGTCTATAAATAATCTTGAAGCTCACTGTGTTTTCACAATGGAAAGTATGGGCATCAATCAATTTCAGCTAGCAAATTACAAAGCTATAGTTCTTCGGCATAATCCTGACTGAATCTCTAATGGAGATATTAAACAGAACAAATGGATAGGCAATGTAATCAGAAGGAAACAATGAGTTGCTAGAAATGACAAAACAAACACAGGAATAGAAAAGGTGACCCTGAAATCACAGATTCCATACTGCAGAAGAAGGCCATGAAATAAGCAAAAGACAAAGAAAACAACCCAAACAGTGCTGCAAATGAGCTAAAAGAACCTAGTAGTAAAAAAGACATTGCAATATACACTGTCTTTTAAGGCTCATCAACCATAAGAAGAGAATGTTTGATTAGCATGGATCAACTATTTCATTTCACTGAACCTTCAGACAATATGCTACTCTGTATTGGAATGGGAACCACATCTCTGCAAACATTTAACCACTTTGCAATTTTGTCAACTAAACACTAATCACCTTAAACCACACTACAATAAAATTCTATCAAAATCACCAAGGAAAGACCCATGAATCCTATTAAATTATTATGGCAAAGGTTGCTAAAGCATGATGAAATATGGTGATAGTTGGAATGAATGAACTGTTGCATCATCCCATAAAAAGTAAATGGCAGCACGAAATTTGGCCATCGAATCACACTAATTATAAATCCTGTAAGTACATGAATAATCACAATTTAAACTGCAATAGCAGCCTTAGATAAATCTACAACCTGCTGGCAGCAAACACATTGCACAATAGACAAACTCATAACCCTTAAAGATCATTCAACCACAGCAAGTATTGGAGTTCCCTACATGTGCTTAAATCTGGACAACAATCTCGCTCATCAATGAGTAAAAGGGGAATTGTAAGTTTGTAACCATTTCACTACCAAGAACTACAGGTCCTAAAAAGACCCAAAAGATAGAGAGGCATAATACCATCACTGTCGGTGACTTCGAGGAGCAGGTTGTCTGGCACTGCCGGCTGATGTCGATCGAAATGATTTTCTGTGGAAGTTTAAGCTATGATTATAGGATTCAACTTAAAACAATCTGAGAGTAAATCGATGATGAAACCATGTTACACCTTAGGAGCTGCATCGAATGCAAAGGACATGCAGATGAAAAAGAAGTACGATCAATACTTTTACAAAACATTACAGCAAGCCAAGATACATTGCGGAACACAATAGAACCCTGTGAAATTGAGAATAAAGGCACGATGAAGAAGGCTACAACAGTATATAGGAGACTTAATAAGGCAGGATATATGACTCTATGTGACAATGAATGAGATAAAAGCTAGCCGAGAAAGCAAATCGGAGAGCTATGTCCTCGCCAACACCCATGTGTGACAATCTCATAAAACAATAGCTATCATATAGGGTTTAGACTAAGAAATTGGAACCCACTGTAACTTCTAGATTGGATAGAACTATGAAGGTTGATCATGGATACATTCAAAGTACTTATAAATGCAACCCACATGTCCAAACAAATCAGAACAGTTCTATATTTATACAATGAGCGATTAGGAACGCACAACACCTACTCGTGGAATGAACTAAATCACAAATGATCGGGAAAAATAGATAAAAAGCCAGAGAGAGACGTGCCATTGCTCCCGAGGGGGTCTCCCTTCTAGACTCGTGGAATGAACTAAATCACAAATGAACGGGAAAAATAGATAGAAAGCTAGAGAGAGACCTGTCATTGCTCCCGAGGGGGTCTCCCTTGCGGTGGCTTCTCAAACAGTCAAAAACACTACCGCTGAGACAGAGGAAAGATATGAGAGGTGTTGAATTTCAACGAAAATGGTGGATTGAGGAAACTTTTCATTATGAGATTAACACCTCCACATACCTCCTCTCACCACTTCGCCCATCAGAGGTCGGTGGAATCCCTGCCTCTATCCACACACCAAACAATACTTAATCGCATGGCCACCGCTGATTTTATGGCCATCCAACCATCATAATCAACGACAGTAGTATACACCACAACTCCAAGCTGGTTAACAAACTATATAAACAAACTAATGAACTCCATTAGTTAACTCCCAAAACTACATAAACAAACAAATTAAGGCCAAAATAAAATGGCTTCTTACCACAACATAATGGCAGTGGCAGAGGCAAAGGAGAGCTTCACAAACCACCAAGCAACTTGAAAGTCTTCCATGAAAACCCAATCCAACCTTCATGGAAATAAACAGAAACCATATAAACCATGTAACCCAAAAGCAGCCTGGGGAAGTGACGATTTCAACTGGCGGCGCTAGAAACCAAACCCATAAATAGAAGAAGAGACCCAAAACGGTTGTCGATTCCTCTGCCTTGCCCACCTAATGTGCCGTCAAAGAACGCTGAGAAATAGAAAATTGAGGGATGGATCTCCCTAGGCTGAAGATGATGCGTTAGGGTTGGATTCAGAGGAGTACCCGTGATTCAGCCGCCGCGGGTACATGAGAGCTTCAAAGGTGGGATTCAGCCGTTGAGTTGCGGCCTGCGGGGGAGGGTTACTGAGATTAAGCCAGCAAGCTTCGGAACTGGGATTCAAACAGAGATTTTTTTAGAAGGATGCATGTTCCGGCACGGCAGCGAATCGACCAGAAAAGGGTTCTTGATTTGGGAGGGTTTGAAATGAAGAGAAGATTGTTTTCCCCGGAGAGAGGAAGGAGGGAGAATTCATGGATGTGAAAAGAAAATAATTGTCCAAATAAGAGGCAAAAAGAACAGAGGAAAAGGAGATGGAGGAGGGTTAGCTTGCGTGTGGGGTGGAAGGAGATAGAGAAAGCTTGTCTTTGTTGCTGAAAAGCAACTTTGAGTGGGAAAGTGACAGGAGTATGGAGGAGAGGACACCACCCAAACCCATAGGATAATCAATGAATCTAAAGGTTCTGAGTAGGCGAGTGGGACAATAGAATGCTCTCACAATGACAGGGTCTTGGGAGGCGGGATTGGTGACTGACAAAGGGGAAACACTTGGACGTATCCCAGTCGCAGAGAAGGAAACTGGGGGCCACTAATGAACAGTAGTGGCAACCAAGGCTTTTATATACCAATTTGTTTCTTACCGATGCAAAGCGCGGGAAAAAAACTAGTATACATTATCGTGCTAGTTAAGTTTGGTATTTCTGTACGGAACTAGACTATAAATCAAGGGCATGATCGCTACTTTTGGCTCAAACTATAATGGCTAGTTAATTACAGATTACTTTAAGATCGGTTATATATTACTTTAAACCTTAATCAAGCGTATAGTTCAGGTTGTAGCTTTGTCTAGAAATAATATTTGGGTATGGCTAGTAATTAGCCAGGCATCTAATATAGATACCAAAGTAAAGAAGAGAGGACCATGAGTGATGAAAAAGCAACCATGCTATACTCTTTACTAAAACAACGTATATAAGCATCAACCACCAAATTAAAATAATCATATATAACCTTAACAATCATAACCTTGCTCTTAATTAGAAAATATGAGCTCCTCAATTCTGATGATGAATCCATGCACCGGCTTGCACCATCTCCATTTCGTTAATCAAGATGATAATAATCATCATCATTAGCACGATCCCATATGGACTCCAACTCCAGTCTTTTGTCCTCGTAATCTTCCATGCATGCATCCTCGTTCTCGTCCAACCACTCCGAAGCATCCCTCAACGCATCTTTAACCTCGTCAATACGCTCCTCATCAGACGAATCATAAATCTTAGACTTCTCCAGTGACTTGTTCAAATCATAAATCTTCTGCTCCAACCGGTTCCTCTCGTCAATACGCTCCTTCTCCCGCTTGTCATGCTCGGCCATCTCTCGCGCCTCTCTTACCATCCTCTCGATCTCCCTTGAGCTCAAATTACCTTTGTAGCTGGATATGGTGAGGGACCTTGACTTCCTGGTTGCTTTTGGTTGGGCAGTAACCTTTAAGATTCCATCCGCATCAACCTGGAATGTCACCTCGATACTAGATTCTCCCCTAAAAGTACATATATATAGGTACAAGCAATTAGTTTCTTTTACATGCATGATCATTGCTGAATCTTACCATCCCCACCTTACGTACAGAGTTATAATAGATATATAGTTATATATACCTTGGTGCAGGTGGAATGCCAGTTAGTTCAAAACTTTCCCAGGAAAAAGCAATCCTTGACCAGGGCTCGTTCACCTTGATAAACCTGAAACAAATGTAACATGGTGTGGTAGAAATTTAAAGAAAAACGGAATAAACAAAACGGATGGGAACTAGGAATGCAGCTAGCCGGTTAATATCTTTCAGATGGTATCCAACGGACGTAACTAACCATGATATTGACAACAGTTTGGTGGTCATGACCAGTAAAATACTGGTCACTTGTGAATTCGGCAGGAATGACTGTGTTTCTGGGAATTACTACAGACATCAGAACACCACTGACTGCGACCCCCAAGCTCAAGGGAGTGACATCAGATAGAATTACACCTACAATAATTCAGATAGCAATTTCACTTTCTAACTAAAATAATAACAGCGAAATGGAAAAGAACACAAGTGAAAACCATGCATGCAAGAGAGGCATATAACGACGTCGTCCCTTTTGAAGCAATTTACGTACCATGTCCATCTTGGTCGCTACTGAGCATAGCACCTTGGACTGCAGCCCCGTACGCCACGGCTTCGTCAGCATTGATCCCTTTGCTCGGCTCCTTCCCATCAAAAGCCTTCTTCAGCATCTCTCTAACCCTAGGAATTCTCGTGCTTCCACCAACCAACACAATCTCATCAATCTGTTCCTTCCTCACCTTTGCATCTACCAATGTCGTCATCACCACCTCCAACGTCTTCTCAAAGAGATCAGAATTCAAGTCCTCGAATCTCGCCCTCGTCAGTGGCTCTGTAAAGTCCATCCCCTCTACTAAGGAATCAATCTCTACTCGAACTTGCGTCTGACTGCTCAATACCTATTATATTAGTGAGTAATATTTAGTAAGAATTGCGAAATATGAATTTGTGGAATGAAGCAAAATAATAATTACATCGAGTTTGAATTAAATTCTTATCCTTTTTGCCCTTTCGCATTCCTTCCGCAGCTTCCCCAACGCCTTCCAGTTTTGACTGATATTCTTCCGGTACTTTTTCTTGATCAAGTTCACGAAATACTCCATCACTCTTTGGTCAAAGTCTCCACCGCCAAGATGAGCGTCGCCACCGGTCGCAAGTACCTTGAACTCACCATTGTCGATCTTCAAAACGCTGACGTCGAACGTCCCACCACCCAAATCATACACCAGAATATTCCTCTTGGTCCTCGAGTCTTTCTTCACACCATAGGCCAGGGCGCCGGCCGTCGGCTCGTTGATTATCCTTACAACATTGAGCCCGGCGATTGTGCCGGCGTCCTTGGTGGCTTGCCTCTGGGAATCGTTAAAATACGCCGGGACAGTCACCAAGGCGTTGGTGACTTGCTTCCCAAGGCGCTGATTTCTTCCGGTGTAAAGATTCTGAGCTCGCCGTTGACCTCCATTTCAACGCACGGCCTTCCGTCCCGGTCGACGACGGGGTAGGGCAGGTATTTTAGGTCGTTCTGGACGTCCCGGTCGTCGAGCTTTTTCCCGATGAGTCGCTTGACGTCGAAGATGGTACGGCGAGGGTTGAGAGTGGCCTGATTCTTGGCGGCTTCGCCGATGAGACGTTCGGAGCCGGCGGAGACAGGAGAGAAGGCGACCCATGAAGGGGTGGTTCGATTTCCCTGGTCGTTGGTTATGATTTCGATCGTACCGTCCTTTCCGGCGACAGCGACGCAGGAGAAGGTCGTCCCTAGATCGATTCCGATCACTTCTCCGGTTATCTTTTTGTTTGACATTTTTTTTTTTTTTTTTGGAAGGACAGAGGGGAATTTTGTTAGGCTTGCATGTGTTGGGTGACTGAATCATTATGGGTTGTATTTATAAAACGTACGTGTGTCTCTTTTGCCTTGACCATTAGAGCGCCTTTCCGGTTTCCGCTGATAGCTTTGAACTTGTGAATGTGGGTGTATGAACCATTAAATGTGGCTCTTAGTTTACCGCGTTCTCGTATGAATTGGGAAGTGGAGGAGCTTATAAGTTGTCTACACATAATAAACACTCCCAAGTCCCAAAGGTACTGTGGATGGGGTGATAAAAGGAATGAGTTACGGTACCCACCAAGGTTGTCAACCCGCGGGTTGACCCACGGGTCGACCCAATTTGACTCTGACCCGGTGAGAAAAACGGGTCGCACGCACCCGTCGGGCCGACCGCTATTAGATACCGGGTTGGAGGTCAAATTGTGTCATTTTTTTTCTTTAGTTTGCGAAATGCGTCTATTTTCCAATTTTTTTTTTCGCCTAACTCAATCTTTGGAATACTAAGTTGAACATTTGAATATTTATGTTATATAAGTGTGTGAATTTTCACTATATGTTGGATCTAAGTACGATATGTTATTTTGGTGTAATATTATATGTTTTAAGTCATATGTTAGATAAGATTTGATATAATTTATGAGGATAAGTACATTATAATGACTCTTTCTATATTTCCGGGCCAAACCGGGCTAAAACGGTTGACCCATTAACCCTTAACCCACTAGCTCGACCGGGTCCGGATCAACCCGCGGGTTGATAACCTTGGTGCCCACTATTTGCAGCAATGCCACTGGGCCTAGAAATTAATATCGACCCAGCAGCACAGTGAACAAGACTCAATCACCGGACTTTGGGGCCCATGTGAGTTTAGTTTTCTCAAGCGGCCCAATTGGGTTGGGCTCCCCTACCTGACATCATGGTAAACTTTTGGGATGACAATTGACATGTACACAATTATTGGGTCTGTTTTATTATCTCTATGCAACTGTCATTAATTAACACAGCAGTAGCACTCACTCTAAAGTTAGGTAACCAGTTCCTGGAGCCAGAGCATAAGAGCCTCTATCATACAAGAATTCAAAATTGAAAACGTGAAGAGAGCGTCATTATTATATTATTATTAATTATTTTATATTATAATATATTATTTATAATAATTTTGAATGTAATTACTAAGTAGTACTGACATAGTCCGTCATATATACATGATCATGCTAGTTAAGTTTTGTATTTTTGTAGGGAACTAGACTATAAATCAAGGGCATGATCTCTAACTTTTGGCTCAAACTATAATAGCTAGTGCATGGGAGCTCCCAATTTCTCTTTGTGAATTCAAACCGGTTTATGCCAATGTGCCGGTTTATCAAGTGGAATGGTTCGACCAATGGCACATATCGGTTTGTGCCCGTTCATGCTGGTCAATATTACAAATAAAATTATATATACTCATATTTAAATTTTAAACATGACATTTAAGTCAATGCCAAAACATTTATACTTGAATCCAACAAATAGCATCAATATTTAACTTTTATACTCACAAAATAAATAATAAAATAAATTTCATTAATTAAATTCACTAAAATAAGGTCATTTTACTTAGAGATTCGTCTATCGATCATGCCGGTCATACCGGTGGTGTCACGCCGGTTTTATGACCAGTATCGGTTGAACCAGGTACAACCGATGGTACGCCGACCGGCGTGACAACCATGTGCATTACAAATACATCCATTTTTTTAAACATAAACAAACGAAAAATTGTTCGGTCACAAAGTCAGACCCGCCCAAAACAGGACAACTAAATCGGGTAAAACGGGTCAGGACGAAATTACGATAGGGACAAACCCACCCATCAATATTTTTGAAGGTTTACAAATTCTAAGTAAATTGATTCTTCTTATTGCTTTACTGCTACGAATTGAGTTATCAATCGTCATTGTAAAAAATTCGACCAACACTTAAAAAAATGTTTTCATGAAGATAAATACTCAAATGCTTAAAATATTATAGTAAACGAGCCAGGGTCAAAACTAGTATTAGTCATGGAACAGGAAGTCGGATCGGTTCAACCGGTTCAATCGGGAGGAACAGGGGAAGCCTCTGATTTCAGGAGAAGCATAGAAAAAAGCTTGCATGCGGGCAGCAGCGGTGGTTTCGGACTTCCTGTTCAGTAAGAAGGCGAGATGAACGAGAAAGAGGGTTTATTATTAACAGATTTGTTCTGGTAATGGCGACAAAGAGATGAGAGTTTTCGATTAGGGAGTAGGGACTGCTTTCAATTTGGCTTTGAGCGTTTGGGGGTGGGGGCTAAGATTTGGTTTGCTATCTGGTGAGGATATGGTTGGGTGAGAGAGAGAGAGAGAGAGGAGAAAGAATGAAAAATTGGGAAAGGCAGAATTAAAGGCTGCACGAGGAGGAGGAAACGAGGAAGATGATAAACAAGGTAAGTTTTTTTATAAAAAATAATTATTGTTTAACTTTTCTATTAATTTTCTAATTAGTTTTATTTATTTATTGTTCGGTATTATTTCGAAACGGTACCCTGATTTTGATGGCACGATATTTTGACAAAAAATATATTTTATTATTAGAAAAACAATAATTACCGGTACGAAATGGTTGATCAACGATCATACCACAAAATACCCTACTAGAAAAGAATCTGGTATGATGTTTGGTACGGTTTCCTAAACCACGGTATTAGTAAATGGCGGGTGAGAAATAGGAAAAGAGGTCATTCTACCCATTTCAATAAGGTTTTACTATTAGCTAGTTATTTATCAATATTATACATGGTTGAACAATAATTAACTAAGTACATAATTAAACCAGTACTTCAAAAGCGCAATTAGATTATAAAAAAGGTGGACTCTGAGATGCACGGACAAGCGACCGTGCATGCAGCACTTTTCACTAAATTAAAACAGCAAGCGTCAATCGTCAGAGAAACAAGTTGAAACATTGGAGGTAGATCGAAAGCCTGACGACCTTGTCTCTACAGTAGACAAACATACTAATAGAAAACTCTGCATCTCTTTAAGGGTTCCATAACCGATCTGCTGATCAATACAGGTCCCGTAAAGATGCCAGTTCCCGACTTTTGTCCTCGTAGTCTTGCTTGGATGCATTCTCGTTCTCATCCAACCAATCCGTAGCTTCCCTCAGGGCAATTTTAACTTCAGCCTTACCACCCAATGCCTTGTTCACATCGTAAATGTCACTCTCCAAGCGGTTCCTAGCATCAATACGCGCCTTTTCCTTTTGGTCTTGCTCAATGCTCAGCCATCTCCTTCGCCTCTCTTACCATCCTCTGAACCTCCCCTTCGCTCAAATTCCCTTTGTAGCTGGTAATGGTGAGGGATTTAGAATTGGTGGTTCCTATCTCCTTGGCAGTAACACTTAGTATCCCATCCGCATCAACCTCGAATGTCTCCTCGACAGTTGTTACTCCTCTACAAAATCAAAAATATAGTGCAGTTGATTGATCCTCTTGTTCGGGAGTGCACGATCGACATGGAATATAACCACAAAAAATCAATTGTACATACCTTGGAGCTGCTGTAATGCCAGTTAGTCTGAAACTTCCTAGTGCTAGACAATCTTTGGTCAGGGGTCTTTCCCCTTGAAACACCTGCAGTCATAGTTAGCATATATGTGTGTAGTGACGACATATTGAAATTAATGTTACCAGGAAGATATACAGTCCGGATGCAAAGTGCAAACCAGCCCTGTAAACGTTGAACAGGTTCATATATACACTTTTAAGTTTAAATTCAATCAAACTAACCTCGACGTCCAGAACAGTTTGCTGGTCATGAACAGTGTGAAATACTCCTGACATCTTTGTAGGAATGACAGTGTTTCTAGGCACGACTACATACATCACACCACCTATAGTCTTCGACCCCAAACTTAATGGAGTGACGTCAAATAAACTAAACCCTACAGTTCCAATATAGAAATTTATCAAGTGAAAGAAATGGAACTCGGAAAAAAAAAATGAAAACTATAACCTACTTCAACATCAAAGAAGCTAAGCAATAAGCATGCACGAGGTCGAAGCCAATCGCTTTGGAGTAGTCGAGAAACTATATCATTATAAAAAAAAATGCAACCAATATTAGTTACCAAGTCCATCTTGGTCGCTACTGAGCATGGCTCCTTGGACGGCAGCACCATAAGCCACGGCCTCATCAGGGTTGATCCCTTTGCTTGGCTCCTTCCCATCAAACTCCTTCTTCAGCATCTCTCTAATCTTAGGGATTCTAGTGCTTCCTCCAACCAATACAATCTCGTCAATCTGGCCCTTCTCGACTTTTGCATCCTCCATCGTCGACTTCACCACCTCTAGTGTCCTCTCGAAGAGATCCAGATTCAAATTTTCAAATCTCGCCCTAGTTAGTGGCTCCAAAAGGTCCATCCCCTCTGTTAAAGAATCAATCTCTACCCTGGCTTGTGTTTGACTGCTAAGTACCTATTAGCCATTTAAGTGTAGATATTGAAGTGTATAGAGTAAAATATGAGAAACTTACATTAGCTAGACTGTTGCGACAATTAGAGTTTCATAAGATTACCCTTTTCACCCTCTCGCATTCCCTTCGCAGCTTTCCAAGAGCCTTACGATCTTCACTGATATTCTTATTGTACTTTCTCTTGATCAAGTCCACAAAATAGTCCATCACTCTCTGGTCGAAATCGCCACCGCCAAGGTGCGTGTCACCTCCCGTTGCAAGCACCTAGAATTGACAAGTGTTGTTATAACCTACTTTGACTTTTCAATTAATTATCAAACCGAATAAAATGTGGTAGTCAATTTTCTCGAGTTTATTAAAACTGTTTTTCAATTTCATGTTAAAGGTTTTCAATCGTTTTCTTTTCCATGTTAAACGTACCTGAAACACGCCGTCGTCTATCTTCAAAACACTGACGTCGAACGTCCCGCCACCTAAATCATACACAAGAATATTCACCTTCCTCTTCGAATCTAGCTTCGCACCGTACGCAAGGGCGGCCGCTGTAGGCTCGTTGATTATTCGTACAACATTGAGGCCGGCGATAGTGCCGGCGTCCTTCGTGGCTTGCCTCTGGGAGTCATTGAAGTAGGCCGGGACAGTGACCACGGCGTTGGTTACTTGCTTCCCAAGGTACGAATCAGCCGTCTCCTTCATTTTCCCCAGCACCATGGCGCTTATTTCTTCCGGCGTGAAAGTTTTCATCTCGCCGTTAACTTCCAGTTCCACGCACGGCTTTCCATCTCTCTCCACGACGGGGTAGGGCAGGTATTTTAGGTCGTTTCGGACTTCTGGGTCGTCGAATTTTTTGCCGATGAGTCGCTTGACGTCGAAGATGGTGCGGCGGGGGTTGAGGGTGGCCTGATTCTTGGCGGCTTCGCCGATGAGACGTTCGGAGCCGGCGGAGGCAGGGGAGAAGGCGACACAGGAAGGGGTTGTCCGGTTTCCTTGGTCGTTGGCTGTTAGTGTTGTGGTATATGATCCCCGATTGAACCTCTCCCAACAACTCGAGTTATTGGGAGCAACTGGTTCATGACATGGTATCAGAGCCTGGTTACGATCCAGAGACCTGTGGGTTATGGGCCCACCACGCTTCCCAACAACTCGAGTTAGTGGGCACATATCAACCATTCATCGTTTTTCAAGCTGGGCATTCACGTTGTTCATGCTCCAGCTTGAGGGGGAGAATAGGAGGTCAACATACGACGGTCGACTAATTCAGTCTTCAGGTCGACCGCGATGTACCAAGTGTGTTCCAGTTCAAGAGACGCAGTCAATCGTCTCTATCATCAGGTTGTTCAGAGAGAGTCAGTCGTCTCCAATCAACCTAGTCTGAGATGTTATCATCTCGAGTTTTGTGGTTCAAGCCATCATGCTTGTTCTTCACGTTTACTTCTTCAAGCTTGACATTCTTGTCATTCATGTCTTCGCTTGAGGGGGAGTGTTGCGGTTACTTAAACCGTGTTAGTATTGGGCCTTGTTGGGCCTCGTCTGATTCGTTGGATTAGGGTTTTAACCCTAAGTTTATCTATATAAGCTTAGCTATCGACTTGTGTGATAGCAAGCCGTCAAGATGTAATCCTAATAAGAGATCAGTCGTGAGCTCTTATGAGCTCACCGTGGATTAGTCTCGATCAATCAATCGATCGAGGATACCACGTAAAATCTCGTGTTCTGTGTTTTTTTGTACTTCCGCATCATCAAATTCTACATTGGCTATGATTTCGATCGTACGGTCCTTTCCGGCGACGGCCACGCAGGAGAAGGTCGTGCCTAGGTCGATTCCGATCACTTCTCCGGTTATCTTTTTGTCTGCCATCTTTTTTTTTTTTTTTTTTTTGAAGGGCGTGCAGAGGGAATTTTGTTAGGGTTGAATGCGACGTTGAGCGACTGAATCATTTTGGGTTTGTATTTATATAAAAAAAAACGTACATGGGCCTTTTGCCTAAAAGCCCTAAACCATTACAGCGCCTTTCCAGTTTCCGCTGATAGCTTTCAACTTGTGAATGTGGGGTGTATGAATCATTAAATGTGGCTCTTCGTTTACCGCATTCTCGTTCGAAACACTCCCAAGTCCCAAAGGTTTAGAGATGGGGATTTGGCAAGAGGATATATATAATACCTAGGATTGTGGATGAGGTGTCTGAAAGTAGAGCGGTTAATGAGCCGAGTCGAGTTGAACTTTGCTTTGTTTATGTTCGGTTCGTTTATAAACGAGTTGAGCTCGAGTCCGAATCGTTTATAAACAAGCCGAGTTGAGTCGAACACGAGTCAACTCATTTATTAAATCTTGACACATCATTAAGATCAAAAGTACGGATCGAGCTCAACTCTAAGATAATTTATAATATAAATACCCTAATATTTATTTCATATGTGATACAAGTGATTACCTAATGTTATGTCATATATGAGATGTATTTGCTTACATATACTCAATGTATTAAACACCATGTGAGGTGATACACACAATTTTTAATAATTATATGCATCATTAACAAACCAACTTATAAAATCTAGATTGATTTTCACATAAGTTGTGGTCGAGTTGGCTCTCTAGCAAGGTTGTCAACCCGCAGGTTGACCCGGACCCGGTCGAGCTAGTGGGTCAAGGGTTAATGGGTCAACCGTTTTAGCCCGGTTTGGCCCGGAAATATAGAAAGAGTCATTATATTGTACTTATCCTCATAAATTATATCAAATCTTATCTAACATATGAGTTATAACATATAATATTACACCAAAATAACATATCGTACTTAGATCCAACACATAGTGAAAATTCACACACACTTCTATAACATAAATATTCAAATGTTCAACTTAGTATTCAAAAGATTGAGTTAGGCGAAAAGAAGAATTGGAAAATAGGCGCATTTCGCAAACTAAAGAAAAAATTACACAATTTGACCTCCAACCAGGTACCTTATAGCGGTCGGCCCGGCGGGTGCATGCGGCCCATTTTTTTCACCGGGTCAGGATCAAATTGGGTCGACCCGCGGGTTGACAACCTTGCTCTCTAGTCACAATGTTAGGACATCTCATAAGCTCAAAACGAGATAATTCATGAGTTGTATTAAACGAGCCACCTAATCGAGCTAGTTCACAAGCTTCACGAGTCGAACAAGGTAGAACTCAAGCTCGGCTTGTTTATTAACGAGTCGAACTTTTTTTAATCGAACGAGCTTTTATCGAGTTCGAAATCGAGCCGCTGAATAGCTCGGCTCATTAACAACCCTATATAAAAGGAATGAGTTACGGTGCCCACTATTTGCAGCCCTAGTTGCAGCAATATCACTGGGCCTATAACTTAATATCGATCGAGCAGCACAGTGAAGACTCAATCACTGGACTTCGGGGCCCATATGAGTTTAGTTTTCTCAAGCGGCCCAATTGGGTTGGGTTCCCTATCTGACATCATGGTAAAATTTTGGGATGACACGTACACAAATATTGGGTCTGTTTTATTATCTCTATGCAACTGTCGTTAATTAACTCAGCAGTAGCACTCAATCTAAAGTCTAAAGTTCGATGTTGCATGTAAAATATATTTGTGCCAAAGACAAAACAAGTTGTAGTGACTAGTGAGTGATAGCACTTGTAATTGTCATAAATCAGTTGGTCCCAATAACTCAAGTTGTTGGGAGAGGTTCAATCGTGGATCATATATCACAACACTAACACGCCCCCTCAAACGAAAGCCACTCACTAGGGCTTGAAGTTTGCACAGGTCTGAAGACAAGACTACCATGTGCTTAACAAATGGGGGTCACCGGGAATCGAACACAAGACCTCTCGGTCACAGAAGGCTCTGATACCATGTCAAGAACCAGTTGATCTCAATAATTCGAGTTGTTGGGAGAGGTTCACTCGAGGTATTGGGACCATCTGGTTCATGACATGGTATCAGAGCCTCGAACCGAAAGGTCATGTGTTCGAATCTCCACGACCCCCAATATTAACCATTGTCTTTCAAGCACATGGTATGGTGGGCCTGTGCAAACTTCAAGCCCGTGGGTTGGCTTTCGTTTGAGAGGGCGTGTTAGAGTGTGGTATAAGATCCAACATAACCTTCTCCCAACAACTCGAGTTATTGGGATCAACTGGTTTTTGACATGGTATCAGAGCTGGTTTGTCCTTGAGGTCACGTGTTCAAGTCCTCACGACCCCCAATATTAATCGTTGTCTTTCAAGCACATGATATGGCGGGCCTGTGCAAACTTCAAGCCCATGAGCCGGCTTTCGTTTGAGGGGGCGTGTAAGGAAGTGGTTAAGTACCATACATGGACCTGTATAAGATCCAGCATAATCTTCTCCCAACAACTCGAGTTATTGGGATCAACTGGTTCTTGACATAAATTATTATAATACTACGTAAGGTAAATTAGTTACATGTTTTATTGCAACGAGTTGCTTCTTCAACTTGGTAAACTTCTTTTTTTTTTCTCTTTGGAAAAATAAGATATATCCTTATGTAAGCTTGAATTTGACCAAATTATATTGGTCCATATACAGACTAGGATACGTTTATTTTCGTGCAAAAAGAAAAAAAAAGTTTTCCTAATTTAAAAGTTTTTGTAGCCAAGCCGCGTAGACTACAGCCAGTCAAAACTCAAAAGGATGGGTTCCTGATTCCATATATAAGTAGTCACTAAACTTCAACGATACTAGCAAATAGATCATTGAACTTTCTTTTTAATGATTTTGTCACTCAAAGTAGAGACTAACGTGATTGTCACTTTCTTTACCTACTTCAAGTTTTTTTTTTTTCTCGATCATCCAGCTGGTTTCAATGAGTTGAGTTGTAGCATGTAGGTAGAAATTTGACATAGAGTAATGTCATTCATTTACGCAAATTTACAAGCCAAAGACAAGCGCAACGATGGAGGTAGGGGGTTTAGCCTCTATCACAAGACACGGGTAAATATTTGGTAAGAAATAATAAATCCCCATTTATGTTTATACAAAGGATTTAACTCACCATTTTAAGGTGACATAAGGTGTAAGGCTGTCTAGCCGCTGAAAACAGAAACTCAATTCTTGTTATATATGTTAAATACTTTTTTATATTTTTATATTTTTGAAAATATGGCAGACTTAATTTCAAAATTTTGACTCCACCACTGTCAATCACACTTGATCCTTGTACAGACTGTCAGACTCATCATCGTACCTTCACACTTTGTGCACCAATCAAGCATTAACATTTGTTGTTATTAGGACCCGACGGCCAAAGGTTTCAATATCATGTAAAAAATCAACTGATGCTACTTAATAAATCATTATTTTAGCCAAATTACTAACTAAGTAAGAAAGTAACTAAAAAATGTTTATCTCCTATTGATGGTCCATTTGAAATCAAACTCAACCCGGAGTCCTGGACCAAACCATTCTTCAAGTATGGTTTAAAATAATACAAATGAAACCCTTTTCGTACTAATTTGTGTGACTTAACACAATGAGGTATTTTGAAACAAAATGAAAAGATTAGTTATCTTATTAACTAGTCCAAACTAGGGATGACAATGGGTCGGGTTGGGTCGGGTTTTGCCAAACCCAAACCCAAACCCATGGGTTTATCTTTGAAAAAAACCCGGGGTAAAACCCACTGGGTTTGAAAAACTCAAACCCAACCCAACCCGTTGGGTATCCGCGGGTTCATGGGTACCCACGGGTTTTGTCGCAAAAAATTTACAATTACAAGTTCTTATCAAAATTAAAGTCAAATATCAATCTCTCAATACAAATTATCCATATATAAAACACCAAATTAGAAAATTCAAGCAAATCACAAATTAACTATACAAATTGTTCAACACCAATCTAGAAAACTTAAGAAAATTGAAGTAAATCACAAATTATCCATAAATAACATGTTTAATTGAAAACTTCTTCCTTTCAATTAAGTTTCTTTACTCTCTAGTCTCTACTCCATAACATCAACTTAATTCTACACAATTAAAAAGAAAAAATTAGACATGTCTCCACAAATATAAATAAGATTAGTTGTTTAGAATATTCAATATACCGAAAAAATTAATTATATGAGTGGGCGGGTACCCACGGGCCGGGTTTACCTAAACCCAAACCCAACCCAACCCGGTGAATAGTGAACGGGTTTAAACCCAAAGCCGGCCCAAAACCCGTCAACACGGATTTTACCCGCGTTGACCGGGTTGGGTCGGGTGGGTACCCATGGGTTCGGGTTTTGTTGCCATCCCTAGTCCAAACTTTGATGGCATATCCGTAAAGCATCGAACTTGGAGGACCGATTTGTTGGTCGTTAGAGATCGTTGCCGATCTGGTTCACAAAGTTTTAAGGACGACGACCATGGAGAAAAGATCCAAAGAACGGCATAACGATCCACGCCCCAAAAGAAAAGGAGCAAGAAACTTTTCTATCATACAAAAAGAAAAAGGAAAAGGGCAAGAAAAATCAGAAAAACAAACCATTTTTGGGAGGCAGAAGGAAGCAGCGACCCGGGCAGCCAGCCAGCCACCAGTGTTATTATTCCTTCTTCTTCTTCTGTTCTCCCCCGATCCCCTCGGAGAATTCTCTCTCTCTCTCTTCTCTTTCTCTCTCTCTCTCTGCCTGCCGCAGCAATTATACTGAAATAACTAATATCTTTGAAGAAGTTAAGGAAAGTGTTCGTTCCCATCAGAACCCAGCGAAAAGGGACACCAAAGGTGGGAGCTTTTCTTTATTCTGTTTATCTCAGTTCTTCCATCCATCCAGCTTTCAATATTTGATCTCTTACTTCGTACTCTCCGTACACACCCTCTTCCTTTTCTCCCTCTCTCTATGATTGACCAACCCACTTTGCTCAATTGTCTTCTTTCAATCTCAGCCTCAAGTGCTTCAACTAGGAAAGAATACCCTTTTCAATTTCAGATCTTCATTTGGTAAAATTGAGAATTTCTGCTGCTTGTTTGCTTGGTCTCCTTAGTTTTGCTTCTGCATTTGTTTACCCATCTTGGTCTATTGAATAGTTAGCAATTTGAATGCTGATAAAGTTTTGATCTTTGATCTGGAGCTGCTACTGGGCTACCCTGCTTTTTTGAAACTGCTTCATGTTCTCTATGTATTTCTCTGTTCTTCTGCAAGTTCTGAGTGAATTTATATGTTCTTGAGCAGAAATGATAATAACATGGAAGTTCCCTTCTTCCCCCCTTTTGTGGCTTTTTTCAGAGTTGGTTCCTCTCTAATTTGGCTTGTAATCTGAGTGAAGTCGGGACTCAGCTTCAAACTAAAGGCGGTTTTATGTAGAGGAATCCTGCATAGCGGGAATTTGCTAAACCCTAATTCTCTAGTAAGTCATTTGGTGAGCTGTGAGAAAATTTGCTGGCCAATGGAGGCTGCAGCATTTGATGCCGGGGTTCCACAACCAGAAGGCGAAGAGAACTTAATCGAAGCTGCGAAGCAAATAGTGAAGGCTTTAGGGTCGGGAAAGAATCTCACGGATGATGCAAGGAAAATTTTGGCTGACCTGGGCACCCAATTGTCCACCATAAACATAATCAGTGAGGACAAGGACGGCGACATAGGCGAGCTCGAGGCCCAGTTGGATGCAATTCAGGAGAAGATTGCGAATTGGGAGGCTGACCAGTCTATGATATGGGATTCAGGTCCCGATGAAGCTGGTGAGTATATGAATGCAACTCTAGAAGCCCAAAGATTGATTGAAAGATTGGAGAATTTTTTCCCTGGTGGTGGTGGAGGAGATGATGCTGGTAGAAGGGATTTGCTACGCAGGGCGCACGATGTGCTTCAAATGGCAATGGCAAGGCTCGAGCAGGAGTTTACACACTTGCTTGTACAAAACCAGCTACCATTTGAGCGAGACAATGTAGCATCTTTCCGTTCAAGTGAAGATGATGGTCTCGACTTCAACTCGTTTGTCTCCAATGGTGATGATCTTGAGGACCCGAGTATTAGAGATAGCAGCGTCAGCAGGAGCTGGGAGGAGCTCACCATTGATATGGTACACCCTGATGCTATCCCAGACCTTAGAGATATTGCTGAGTTGATGTTTGTTTCTGGTTATGGTCACGAATGTACACAAGCATATATCACTGTTAGAAGAGATGCCTTGGATGAGTGCCTGTTCATTCTCGAAATGGAGAAACTGAGCATCGAGGATGTACTGAAATTGGAATGGGGGAGCCTTAATTCCAAGATTAAAAAGTGGATCCGAGCTTTGAAACAATTTGTCCGAGTCTATCTTGCCAGCGAGAGTTTCCTCAGCGAGCAGATCTTTGGACAGCTCGAGCAATCATCGTGGTCAGTTTGTTTCATCGAGGCGTCAAAGGGATCAATGCTGCAGCTGTTGAACTTTGGGGAAGCCATATCTATCGGTCCTCACAAACCAGAGAAGCTCTTCCCTATCCTCGACATGTACGAGACCATTTCAGCTATGATTCCAGACCTAGATTCTCTATATGCAAGTGGAGCTGGTTCGTGTGTCAGAACTGATTGCCACGAGCTTCAAAGAAGGTTAGGTGATTCAGTTAGGGCAGCTTTTTTGGAATTTGAGAATGCAATTGCGACGAGCACTTCAACAATTGCTTTCGCTGGAGGAGGAATCCACCATTTGACACGCTACGTTATGAATTACCTCAATACACTCACTGACTACCAGGAATCGTTGAATTACCTCCTCAAAGATCACGATAGACAGAATGCTGCTATTATGTCGCCTGATCTAGCTCCGTCGTCAAGGCAAGAAGACGATGCCAGCGGGGAACCTGCTGCAGAAGATTATGCCACCATGGCTCTACACTTCAGGTCGGTCACCTCGATCCTGGAGTGCAATCTTGACGACAAGTCGAGGCTGTACAGGGATCCATCCTTGCAGCATGTATTCATGATGAACAATGTCCACTACATGGCACAGAAGGTGAAGAATTCAGCAGCATTAAGGCACGTGTTCAAGGACGAGTGGATCAGAAAGCGCAACTGGAAGTTCCAGCAGCACGCGATGAGCTACGAGAGAGCCACGTGGAGCTCTGTGCTGTCCTTGTTGAAAGACGAAGGAAACTCCCATCCGGGATCGGTCTCTAAAGCTCAACTCAGAGACAGGCTGAGGAACTTCTACGTGGCGTTCGAGGACGTTTACAGGACGCAGACATCGTGGATCATCCCCGATGGTCAGCTACGCGAGGACCTACGAATCTCGACCTCGCTCAAGGTCATCCAAGCTTACCGGATGTTCATCGGGAGGCACACGAACAGCGTCGGTGAGAGGCATGTTAGGTATAGTGCTGATGATTTGCAGAATTATTTGCTGGATCTGTATGAAGGGTCTCAGAAGTCATTGCACAATCCTCACCGTAGATGATGATGATTGTGGAGCTATAGTGTATTTGTATTAGTATTCTTAATCCATCTACAGATCATTAGGCTTCCTAAGGGGAAAAGGCTGTTATCATGTCTGAAGTTTTCTTTAATCTTATATATTTGTAGTTATGTGCATCATGTAGTATTTTTGGTATCAATTATTATGAGATTGGGGTTCGAATTTCAACAGAATGAAGTTGGTCAATTTTGGATTGCTTTGACGAGCTTTCAGTATTGAATGGTCGTGTTCCATATATAGGGCATCATTAATGAGCGAATCAATCATTGTACTACAAAGAAAGGGTATGCAGAAAAAAGGGTCAACCTGCTATCTTTCTAACACTGAACCAATCCATTATTCACTTCTACTCAAACAATTTACTCGGACAATCAACCATAGAGAGCGTAAACCTTAACAATTTAAAAACAGAGCAGGCTTTATTTATATTTTATACCCAAACATCCAGTTGTGGGAAGACAAATGTATTCTTCTATAACATTCACATGATTGTTCATTGGATGCTCATCATGTAACTGCATCGGACATCTTCCTGGAACTCAGATTCTGAAATGCTCCAGGGCAGAGATCCCATCAAGCCCTTTTCCATAGGAATGATCAAGGTATTCCTTCAGGGTAGTTTCCCTGAAAACCTGCGGATTTCGGTCCGATATCAGCTCCTTAAGCGGGCCATAAACTCGGGAGGAGTTGTCAAGAAACTGTTGTTGCGGTCTCAAGAAACATGCCACTGAAACCCTGGGTCCTATTGATTTAGCAACTACTCTGTGTTGAGAGCTTTTGAATTCCTCATTAGAGATCAACTGCACGTTTATTGCCAGAGAATTGAGTATGAAAAACCAGGTTGTTTTATAGCAAGACTTCAAAAACAAGCACGGTCCAGGTTTTACCTGCAACAAGTCTCCCAGATTTATAACAAGAGCGTTTGCTGTGGGCTTCACATCAACCCACTGATCATCACAAAGGACCTGAAGACCCCCAATTTGGTCTTGCAGAAGCACAGTAAGAGAGCTGCTGTCAGAATGACTGCTAGCTCCTATCGTCAAATCCGGTTCAGGACAAGCCGGATAGTAATGACCCAGAAACAACAATCCTTCCGAGCAACCTATATTGTAGAGGTAATCAGGGTTCAGTCCCAATGCTTCAGAAACCAATTCAAGCAGCTTCCTTGCCAATCCCATCACTTCGTTCGAGTAATCAGCCATCGTCTCCCTGATCCAAAACTTGAATTTGATTAGAAATAGCAAAAGTTATAAGATTCAGTATTAGTCTTACAATCCTACCACTCACAACTCGAAGACCATTCATATCCGGTTCCCTGTTTTACCATTTAAGTTTTGACTGAATTACCGGTTTTACCATTTAATGTTGTGTTCTTTGGAATTGTGGTGAAGAATGGGACGGGGGATTAAGCGATGTCGAAGAGCTTCACTGCAGTAACGGCCCATTCTGCCGGGCGAGAAGAAGATGAACCCTGCGTAGAAAGGTCGAGTCTTTGATACCCAAGAGAGCAAAATATCAAGCTTTGTTCATATCCGGTTCTGTATAACCAGGTCTACCAAGAAAATTTTGTTCGTGCTTTGTACTGAAAGCTTTGCGGCCCTCCTTCGCAAGGCCATTGCGGACAAAAAATTGGAGGGGGTTAAAGTGGCTCCTCGAGCGCCGCGGATCTCGCACCTGTTTTTTGCTGACGACTCGTACCTATTTCTACGGGGCACCCTCAGGGAGTGTGAGAATTTGATTGAGGTCCTGAATGATTATGAGGAATTGAGTGGCCAGAAGGTGAATTTGGCCAAATCAGCAGTGTGTTTCAGTAAGAATATTGTCCATGCTGATCAGGAGTTTTTGGCTTCGATATTAGGTGTGGGAGCGGTAGGGGTCCACGATAAATATCTTGGTCTGCCTACCCTTATGGCTCGATCCAAGATGGCCACTTTCCGGTATTTGGAGGAGAAGCTGCTAGAACGTCTCCAGGGATGGAAACGAAGGACTTTGTCATGGGCGGCGAAGGAAACCTTGATTAAATCGGTTGCTCTCGCGTTGCCATTACATGTGATGTCCTGTTTTAAGCTACCTCTATCTCTATGTCGGCTCCTGGATAGACACGTGGCCCGGTTCTGGTGGGGGGATGATGAGGATCATTCTCGACTTCGGTGGGTTTCGTGGCGTAATCTGTGCCGTAGCAAGCATGAAGGGGGACTGGGGTTTCGTCGGTTTGAACAATTCAATCAGGCTCTGTTGGCTATGATTGGGTGGCATATCCTGATGGAACCTGAGTCCCTTTTGGCGAAAGTTTATAAAGGTAAATACTTCCCTAATGGGTCGTTCCTTGATGCCAAAGCTCGGTCCCGCCCGTCGTGGGGGTGGCAAAGCATCCTCTTTGGTAGGGAGCTGCTGGCGAAGGGGTTACGGTGGCAGATTGGTAATGGGCAGACTGCGTCGTTGCTCAACTCTAGCTGGATTCCTCGACTCCAGCAGCACCCCCCTTGTTACAACCCTCGGATCTTGCCAGATGGGGGCGACCCCCCTGTGGCAGAGGTCATGTGTCCTGGGGGGGAGGTTGGGATGATCGCAAGTTGTGTCGTTGGTTTGATCCCCCTACCTGTAAGGCCATTAAAGCTATCCCGCTCCCAAGACATAATGTTATGGACAAGGTAATCTGGCATGGTACGAGGGATGGGGTCTTCACGGTCAAGTCGGCTTATCATTTAGCTGTGGATATTGATAGAAGGAGGGGGAGTTGGAGAGCTTCAGTGGGTTGGATGGATAAGGAATCTGGATTCGTTTGTGGGATGCGGACATCCCTCCTAAACTTAAAGTCTTTGTTTGGCAGATCCTTAATCGAATTTTGCCTACAACTGAGGCCCTTATTGAAAAACGAGTCCAGGTGCATCCTAGATGTCCGGTTTGCTGGGACGATGCAGAATCTATGGAGCATTTGTTCTTGGATTGTCCTGTGGCTCGTGCCCTTTGGGTGCATTCTGGCCTGGATTATCTGGGGGAGGGGCTCCCTAGGCATACCTTCCCTATGTTCCTGAAGCAACTAATGGGTCGGATTCACCAACCTACTTTATTAATGGCTGTGGTGGCTATCCTGTGGCGGATATGGCGGTCACGGAACTGGGTTGTTTTTGAAGGCCAACAATTTGGATTTTCGGCTTTAATACGTCAATTCCATCAGCAGTACGAGGAATGGGATCGACTGCCTGTGGACAGATCCCCAAGGATGGTTTCCCCTGTGGTGATGCCTCCTGTGGCCCTCCCTGTTGGTCTTGCTACGGAAGATAGTGCGGTTTGTTTGTGGGATGGGGCAGTGAGAAGGGGCATTCAGCGGGTGGGATTGTTCTTCTGATTCCGTCAAGACAACTTTGGCTGGTGAAAGGGATTCTCTTTCCGGATGTGGATGACCCGATGGTAGTGGAACTGCTTGCCCTCCGAGAGGCTATTGTGTGATGCCTGTCGATTGGCCTCTCGGTAGTAAAGTTTGAAGGTGACGCGAAGGTGCTCATTGATAAGATCAATTACGCGGATGCAAGAGATAACCAAGTAGGAGCTGTTCTGGAGGAACTTCTGCATTTTTTTAACAGCTATACTGGGTTTAGTGTTCAATTTATAGGTCGGTGTAGTAATAGGGTAGCCCATATGGTGGCTAGGAAAGCCCTTTCGTTGTACCCGACTATGGGTTGTTTCTTCGATTTCCAGGCCTGGCTGGCTTCCAGGATGTAACTGTCTCTTTTGATCTTTATAAGATTATCTTTTGTAAAACAAAAAAAAAGAGCAAACATAATACAATTGACTAAAAAATGGTCAATAGAACAAACAAACAATTCTTACTCTCAAACTGAATGAGTGTCGTTGAGCCTAGTACTGGTGTAGCGTTACTACCTAGAACATGCACTATTGTTTAACCCTATATAGTTAGTAAAGGCAAGGCAATAGAAGACGAACAAAATTATGAGAACCTAAAAATGGGACTAGTTTAACCTCTGTGGAAGGCAGAGTACCAAACCCAACAATGTCTAAGTGAGAGACGGGAAATCAAAACCCTGCTGGAAAATGTTTCAACCTATATGTCCATGGTGGTGAAGATCTTTCTAGTCCTGCTAGAAAATTATTGTTGGACATTCCACCTCAATGACGTAATTAACCTCCTCAATGTCCATGGTGGTGAAGATCAACAACCAGTATATTATTGTTGGAGACCCACACCCGCCTCCAGTCGATGCTCATGCACCAGCACAAGCTGTTCGACCCGGCCCTTCCATTGCAGAGCTCGCACGCCAAATGCAGGCCATGACTCGACAGTTGACTAGTATCTTAGAGACTACAAACTAGATGGCTCATAACTTGGGGACTTACTGGTCCGAGCGGGGTTTCACACCTACCCGTCATCACGACAAAAGCCAAGATGAAGAGAATGCCTAACTTTCGGGAACATATCAGGTCAGTAACCTTATGGTGAGTAACTATGAGTAACCCGCCCACATTAGCATGACATCAGCATCCTCTCTCTCCTGGAAAGCCTTTAATTTTCCCCTCCTTAATCTTTGACGGACGATTTCTCACTCGTTTTAAGTCGAAATTTAATTTTTTTACACAGTTAGCTGAGATTAATTGGGCTCTTCAGAATGATATCCACTTTGATATATTTTTCGAACAAAAAAAATTGAGCCATTTTTTACCAGTCTATACCATATGGTATTGACTGGTATTGAAATAAGAGCATACCTATGGTTTGAAAAGCGTACCATTGTGGTATGACACAAACCAAAACTATAGGATGGTTGAATACATAATAGTAGAAGTATATTAATTGTCATTTACGACTTTTAACATTGTATACCATAAGATACCACCCCGTACCAGGATGGTCTTGTATGGTATTGTGTGGTATTTTTTTGTCTTGTAATTTGTTCACCCAGAAATTTGTAGATCCAATAGATCATGATGAACTCGTCACTGCTGTGCAAACGTTTTCAAAAACGAATTAAAAACGAAGAAGATATCATATGGTATGCAGTTGGTACCGAGAGGTCAGAATTTTTTTTCCTAAAAAAATATTTAAAATTGATCTCATTTTGTAGAGCACGATATACTCGTTCCATCTGTGCAAAAAAAAAAATTAAAATCCAAGTTAAAACGAAAAAGATATAAGTCAACTAAAAAAGCTAGAGAAAATAAAAATGGTCTTTAATTTTCCATCCTTAGATCTGGATTTTCTAAATGAAGGGTCCAGATTTGGTTATTGATGGGTGCATAACCGAGTTATGCACCCTAACTTGAACCCTGACTTTCTCCTCTTTTCTGTTTGTTTTTGGATATTTGACTTTCTTTATTTTTATTTGAATGATGTGTTTGTGACTAAATTTAATGATTATTATGAAACCAAAGCACGACATCATCCTTCCACATGGATGAAGAAAAAAAAAATGGCCGGAACTACAGCTTCTTTGTGGTAAATCTTTCACCCCAATTTAATTACGTCCATTGAGGACAATGCACATCTTAAGTGTGACGGGGTATTTCGATCAACTATTTTCATGTGTTCTAATAAAGATTATTGTGATTGGTGTTTTCAATAATCTCATCATTTTTTTAAATAAATATATATACATATTCAAAAATCCTAAAAAACTAATTTTAAATTAAAAAAAGAGTGTTTTGTTTTGAATCTCATGAATGACTAAAATTGGTACAAGAATAGTGTGATTTGGATGCATGTCAACTTATAATAATGACTGAGGGATTAAAATAAATGTTTCTCGTGCTACTCAATCTTTGATGGCAAGAACTATTTATAATCTGAAAAAGGGAAATTTATCATCTTCGATTGTTGTTGCATAGCGTTTGGAAAGCATAGCATGAGAAACCGAGCATATAGTAAACCACGTGACACTTGAGCATGATCGTTTCTTTCTTGTGTGTGAGATCCCTCTCTGTGCATGATGATATGCTTGATTTATACATTTTGAGTCGTGACACCACTGATAAGGATGACGGAGGCAATAGGTTTATCCCTACGGCCAAATGACTACCCTGAACATCATATCCCTTAGACTTTTTGTTCGGTGACAACCTGTTTTAAACCAATCCCTGTTCTTCAAGCGTCGAATCATTTTGAACCCTTTTTCAAGGTTCAGTGTGAATGGTTTAAACAAATGACTTTCTACTTCATTGATTAAATACTGAATTTGAGATAGGGAGAAACGATTTATGTAACTCAACTTCAAGGAGGTTCTAAGTTGGACCGAATACATGAACAAAATGGTCTGGCGATAAGACTTAAAAGGCGCACTAGTTGGGAGGTACCCCAACAACCGGTTTGCATTTCCTTACTTTTCAAAAATAAAACTTGCATGTTTGATTTAGCTTTAAGTAGTTTTTATAGTTTTAGCTAGTGAATGAATCTTTTCAATGCCAAGAATTATATAAATGATTTTTGGAGACTATCTAGTTGCTTAAGAAATGGGTGCAATTGTTGTTGTGTTGAGCATGTGTGCTAGCTTAGCCTACCCATCAAGCTACTTATGGCTATGGTGTGGCATCGCTAGTGCAATAGGATCATAGAATGTGTGTTTATTATTGTGTACGTGGTGTTTGGAGGCCTTGGTGGGCTTTATTGTTATGAACTTGTGGAGTTTGAATACCGCCCACCAAGTGCTCGATGAAATGCCCAAACCACATAGAACTTGCTTTGCTTGATCCATTTCTTGTCAATTGAATTTTTTTTTATTAAGATAGACCCTAAGGAGTTTGGTTATGACTTAAGATTTAATCTTTGATTCATGATCCTTGAGTTTGAAATTTTGGCTCACTTTTAATTGTGTGCTTCGATATGCTTTTAGAGCCAAGAGTTCAAGCCTTGGTTGTTATCTAATGAGTTGATTCTAGCCAAGAGTTCAACCAATAGAGGCGACTACAAGCTATGATGGGCCATCTCTGCAAGAAAGAACCTCCGATGTGCAACTACCATATGCTCCAACCGTGCATCAAAGATACTTGGCATCTAGGGGCTGATTTCTATCTTTTCTTTTTCTTTGCTTTTCTTTATTTCAATTAAAACAATATTTAATTATCATTTTATTTTTATTTTTACTTTTCATACTTTAACTACTCTAGTACTAGTAGTAGTACTTATTATTTATACATATATATCGTGCCTATAACTCTTATTCGTCTTCCTCTCTATCTTATGAGCTTTATCGTTGTGCAAACCGCCAGGAAGACAAAGACTACACTTGTAAACCTTCACCAACCCACAACCCGACCTATGGTAATTAACATTCACGATCTTTTTTTTGGAAACTCCCACATTGAGAACAATGTGTTGCTCAAGTGGGGATGGGGGGATGTTTGTGTTTGTTTGAATATTTATCATGATTGGTTTAACCATTAATTGCTACTATTCTCCCTTGTTTGTCAATGTAAGATGATGATAAATGCTTATGGGAGTGTGTGCTAGTAATTGCTCTTATGTTGTGGTGATGAATGGTGAAATTTTAGTGTTTTTAGAACCTTGACTGTTACACCTAAAAAATTTCAAATTTGAGGGTTCCAAAACACCTTGTCCTTGCAATTACCTACTCGATGTGCTTTGACTTGATTAGATTGATTGATGTGTGGTGCATCTTAGGTGATAGTTGCATGGTTTGAGTATCAGTACGTGAGGGATTCTACTACTTTCTTCCTCTTTTGTGGGTCGATAATGTTTGCTACCTTAAGAAGGCAACATGTGCGGGATTCTCTTCTTTGTGTGAACTAGGAACTTTTACAATTTGTGCTTAAGAATAGGAAAAGAGGTTCTCACGTGAGTGGCAATCGGGAAAAGAATTGAGATCAACCATCAAAGGATTATTCTCTTAGCTCGGAGTGCCCTTCGAGGATGTGTTTGGGGTTCGGATAGCTTAATTGCGTCCCAATCATCTCTTACTACTTACCACCCCCCAAAACACCTCTCCTCCTCACAGAATCGTATGCTAAGGACCAAAGGTACTTTTTAGCGATTCATGAGACCTCATAGCTCTCGTTTGTACCCAATATGTGTGGCAATCCAATGTGGAGTGCAGGCTGGGACGTGGTGCTCGGGCTAAGAAGAATCTGACCATCAACTTCCCCACATGTGATCTTGAAAGGGAAGGCTACGATTCATCCACTCTTGGTCATGAGGGAGAGATGCTATTATGCAAAGAAAAAAAATTGCAATGGTTTGGTGCAATGTGCATGAACGAAGGAAAAGGATACCGGAAAAAATGACAATCCTTACGCCAAAAGAAAGAATAAAAGCACCTCCAATAGTTCTAGTAGTTGTTTGTTGTCTGAGAATCCCCGGGAGCGCATTTTTTATGATCGGCCTAAGCTAGTATATATGGTCCTCACACGAGAATTTTTGCTCGCATAGTAGGAAGGTCGTAGAATTCATTCATCCCCGTATACTCTCATCTATGCAAAGAAGAACTAGCATGCATTAGGTTTGAGTAGGTTTGTTTGGGGACAAGCAAACGCGTAAGTGTGAGGGAGTTTGATAAAACCTAAATTGGGGTTATTTACCCTACATAAAAAGGAAAAAATCCCAGAATACATCAATTATTAAAAAAAATTACCAAAATACAGTACTTATAAAAGTATTTCCCAAAATACAGCAGTTTCAACATCACTGTCTTAGACAAAGACAGTGATATTGATCACCGCTTTTGTCCAAAGCAGTGAAGCAGCGGGGAACGCATCACCGCCTTGGACCAAAGCGGGGAACGCATCATCGCTGTGGTCAAAAGCGGTGATACGTTCCCCGCTTTTGTCCAAGGCGGGGAACGTATCCCCGCTTTTGACAAAGGCGGGGAACGTATCCCCGCTTTAGACATCAACAGTGAAGGCATCACCGCTGCTGTCCACAACAGTGATTGCCCCCACGTTTTACACAGCCCTGGTAGGTGGAGAGGTAGGTAACAGCTACCTAGCCATCACCGCTGTTGACTAAGGCGATGATGGGTTCACCGCCTTGGTCTAAAGCGGTGATTAGCTCCCAATTTTTCCTATAAAAAGCCACGCCCCCTCTTCCCTCCTGCTGCCAAACAGAAACTTAGTAAAAAAATTATCGTTTTGTTAAGTCGTTTTCGCAGCTGGTTCCTCCGTAGTTTACTGCTCAAGAAACTCGTCGGGATTTGGTATGTTAGAATTATGTATTGTTTACATTTTGATTATGTGCTAGAATTAGGTATGTTAGAATTATATATTTAGATTAATTATGATATGATATATGTTAGTTAGTTAGTACTGAATTTAGATTAATTTGTTTAGTTTTCTCATGATAGATCGGGATTGAGTATGTTATAAGTATGTATTTTTTACATGTTTATGTGTTAGTAATTATACTGTCTGTATTTAGTGAATTGCGGTTATTGGAAAATATGTTATGATATTATTTAGTTTAATTATGATATGATAGATGTTAGTTAGCTAGTTATGAATTTAGATGAATTTGTTTACTTTTCTCATAATAGATCAATTAGTTGCATTTTATTATCGCTTTGGATGATATTGTTTTTGTATCCATAATGTACTAATTATATACTATACTTAATTATTATAAATTGCAGACATGGGTAAATTTAAGAAGTTTCGGCTTATTATTTATTGGAATGGTCGGGTGACAAACTCGAACATTGGGATCGACTATGAAGATGGCGAATCCAGTATGCTTACAATTGAGTCGAGATTCTCGTGGCAAGAACTCCATGACAAGTGTGCAGAAAGGACTTGTACGGGCGGGCAAATGAGAGTTCGTCAAATTACTTACCGGTATCCCAACATGAGTGCTGACGGAGTCATGTACGAAAGAGTTGACATAAATGATGATGACGACGCGAACATGATGACACAGTTCATATCTGAGAACGGGGTGCGGCTTGCAGAGGTGTATGTCGAGACCGAGCCGGTCGGTGAAACTCATTCTCACCAGTATTCTTATGATGATGGTTTTGCAGGAGGGTATGGCTGGGGTGGTAGTTCAAGTAACTACGGAGCAGGTTCTTCTGCCGGAGGGTATGGTTGGGGAGGTACTTCAAGCAACTACGGAGGAGGTAGTTCTGAAGGAGGTGCTGGGTGGGAAGAATACCTGCCACATGGTGGTGGGACTGCCGTCGATATCGTTCAGCCCGACGGTGATCAATGGCCTGCTTGGGGTCCAGAGTGGGGTGACATTGAAAACACCCTTCGAACTGGGCGTACTTCGCATGACCAAGAAGGCGATGCTGGTTATGCTGCTAACGATGACCATCCTTCGCCGAGCTATCCATTCGCCTCCAGTGACGATGAAAGTGAGGAAGATTTGAGATCAGTCAGTGAGGAGGAAGATACGGACGATAACGACGATATCGATGACAGTGAGGTGGCGTTCCGACAGGCACCAACGCCTTACTACACAGAGGTTCCTGGTCAATTTTTATATGGTCATAACGATGCCCCTGACTTTCGGCCCATGCCTGTGTATAATCCGACTGCTAATTTGGAAGTGGGTATGGCGTTCACTTCGAAAGCCGATGTGCAAGACGCTTTTAGCGAAGAAGCCATGCGGCGTAATTTCGAATGGAAGGTAAAATATTCTGACAAGGGACAACTGCATGTCAGTTGTAAGAATGCTGGAGAGGGTTGTATGTGGCAACTTCGTGCTGCATATATGAAGAGAAAGGGGGTCTGGGTCATGCGGACAGTAGAGAACAACCACAGTTGCTCCTCAACCATACTTTCACAGGATCACCGGCAACTGAAAGCAAAAAAAGTGGCAAGAACCATTAAGCACCTTATCGAGGCACAACCAGATATCAAGATAAAAGCTATCATGGCGGAGGTGAAGGATCGACACTCCTACACCATAAGGTATAAGAAGGCGTGGCATGGGAAGCAGAAGGCCATGGCTGATGTCTACGGTGATTGGGATGACTCGTATGCTTTACTCCCCAGACTAATGTCCGCAATGGAGGAGTCCAACCCTGGGACGGTTTTCGTGCCTTGGTACAACAACGTAGAAACTGAAGATCAAGTTCGAGTACAGAACGAGTTGATGTTTCATCGTCTGTTCTGGACATTCAAGCCATGCATTGACGGGTTTCCCTTCTGCATGCCAGTGATTCAGGTATATTACGGACTCAAAATATTGTACTATTTCATTACTTTACTAATTTCAATTTTTACTAACTCATTATTCATTTTAACAGGTTGATGGAACTTTCCTTACTGGGAAGTATAAAGGAACTCTTCTTATTGCCACTGGGGTTGATGGAAATTTAAGTATTTTTCCCTTAGCATTTGCATTAGTTGAAGGGGAGAACAACCTAAGTTGGGCATGGTTCTTTGACCAGCTACACGCCCACGTCACACAACGAATGGGTATTACAATTATATCGGATCGACATGCCGGGATTAAACACGCCGTCCGTGGTTTCCCGGACGAATGGGGATGGACATGGCGTTGGTGTATTCGTCACTTCCTAGCCAATTTCCAACACAAATTTGGCAAGAAGAAAGACATAAGAGATCAATTATGGAGTGCAGGTAATAATGTAATTCAGTGCTTGTTCATGGTTTATTGTTCAAATGACAATTCTTATGGATTAATTATTAATTCTCCGGTCTTGTAGCGGTTGCACATCAACCAAAAAAGTACGAGCAGAAGATGAAGACGATCCGTCAAATACACCGGGCGGGAGCAGTATGGGCAGAAGGTCAAGATCTGCACATGTGGACATTTCACATGGACAACGGGGCTAGATTCGGAATTGCAACTACCAACCATGGGGAGAGCATAAATGGAGTCTACAAGGGCATTAGGGCAATGCCTGTATCTGTCCTAGTGGAGATGACATACTGGAAGGTAAACGAGTGGTTTGTGAAGAGACGGGATGCTGCTATAGGGAGGGAGCGTGCTGGTCATTCAATAGCTAAGCATATATTTGATGGCATGCAGAAGATCGAAGAGAAATCAAGTAAGCACAGAGTTGTTCTGTTCAACCGCAATGAGGGTATTTTTGCTGTGCAAACAGGTATCTGGGGTGGAGGAAGACGTGGGCATAATCGTCAATCCGTAACTCTACACGTAGAAACTCGCACCGGAGAGTGTACATGCCAAAAGTATCAAAACAGAAGAGTACCTTGTTCACATGCAATGGCAGTAGCTAAGTCGATAACCCTCAGCGCTTACAGTTTGGTTAGTCCTTACTACACGGAACAGGCGATCAGGAACTCCTATTCGTCAAGTTTTAGCCCCCTGCCGGATGAAGCTTATTGGCCTGTAGACAATGGGAAGTTGATTATCCCATCGTTACACTTAAAGCGCACCAAAGGTCGTCCTAGGACCGAAAGGATTCACAATGAAATGGACCAATCACAACGTGCCCGACGGGGTCCAAAGCGTTGCTCAAAGTGCAGACAACCGGGTCATGACAAGAGGCGTTGCCTAGGTCCACCTCTAGAGCAAGATTCGGCGCCAATTCCGAACCTACCTTGATGTTGTTGTTGTTCACTTCCTTGTTTTAATCTTGTTGAGTAGTTTTCGTTGTTGTGATGTTTAATTTGGACTTCTTGTTTTAATCTTGTTGAGTGATTGTAATAAAGGGCGTTTGTTGTTCATTTTGGTACAACATGGGGGTAAAAACCAACAAAATTTAGCCGACATAGATAGTTAATGGAAAACAACACAATCCAAAACCAAATTTAGAAACATAGATAGTTCATGGAAAACAACACAAGCCCCAAACCAAATTTAGACGACATGGATAGTTCATGGAAAACAAAAAAAGATGGAACTAAATTAGAACGACATAGATAGTTCACTGGTTGTCTTCATTTCCCTCCACTTCCCCTTCTCTTCCTCTTCCTCTTCCTCCACGACCCCCTCGGCCCCTTCTTCCGCCCTCTCTACCTCCTCCTCCTTCTTCACGAGCCCGCTGGACAACTGCGCGCGGATTCCTCTTAACCCGACCACCCACCGGAGTGTAGACAGGTGGTGGGGGTGGAGGTTGCTGAGTTGGACCAGAAGTGTGGTAGAAAGTCGATGATGTATGTTGTTGTTGCGGGGTCTGATACTGAGTAGTTTGTTGCTGATGGTGGAACTGAGGGGTGGCTTGGGTGAACATGTCATGCTCCTGAGTCGGGGCATAGCTTGACGACCCTCCGGTTCCCTCAGTACTAGTAGCCCACTCACAATGTGGCCATGGTTGAGGAAGTTGAGTTTGCTGAGACGGACGAAGCTCATCAATGTGTTCTCTCACCCTTCTTCTGCTCCTCCGTGGGGGCTCTTGTGGGGGCACAATCCTCTCATCAGCACGGAATGAAGGTCGGGCCGGAGCAGGCACTGGAGGGTATAATATGACATCCCTCCTTTGCTCTCTGGTACAACAGAGCAAGTTGTTGAAAAGCCTGCGCAAAAAAGATGTCTTCCGCTCATCCATGGTGGGTGCACTCTCGACGGTGTGCTTCGCATGCTCCAAACCGTCAACCTAATAAATTGTTGTACAAAATTAACTAATAGTAAATCTAATAATGATTTCTACAAAAATTAACTAAATTAACTCTAATATAGATAATTAACATTCTAGCTAATATAGGCATGTAATCATACTCCAAAAATTAACTAACATTAAATCTAATAATGTTAATTAACATTCTAGCAAATATAGGCATGTAATTATACTACAAAAATTAACTAAAATAGGCCAAAATGGAATTCACTTACCACTGCGCCCCAAACAGCACCTTGCTTTGACACCCATCTTAGCGTGAAGTTCCGATACCACCGCATGTAGCCATCGTGGTACCCCATTGGCCTTGTCTCCGGCGCCCCTTGGACCACCCACTGATTTCTATTCTCCCATATGTTGATGTAGAATTCATGCTTGCGGGTCCAATCCTTTTTGTTGTAGCGTAGGTCAATGGCGTGGAGCTCCCTGAACCCTTGAGGTGGGGATGCTGGAATTGGTTGCTCCAATCGATATTGCCTCAAAGATCGATCGGGCAGGTGCCACTCCACCATGTGCCAGCAGATTAAGGGCACCTTGCACAACCATGTCTCTTGATCCTCGGGATGTCTAAGACGATGCAACTCAACCACTTCATTTGGATATGGATCCCATACCGCCTACAATCATTATAATTCACGTAATTAGTAAAAATTATATCCACTCCACCTAATAAATTGAAAATCATGACATTCAATATTTTTACCTGGTTCCACCAAGGCTTATCAAATTCAGCACGATAAAACAGTAAAGAGTGCTCGGGCTGGTGGTCGTTAGTATTTGCTCCGATCCACCTAATTAAGCAAAAGTACATATATAAGCAATTTTTAAATTAGCTAAATACGATTTGGTTAGAATAAATCCAAATTCACTTACTTGGAAGATATCTAAATTCACTAAAATACTAGAATTGCAGACCTAAAATGTCTCTAAATTCGCTTAGTTGGAAGATAGCTAAGTTCACTAAAATACTATAATTGCATACTTAAAATTGCATACTAAGTTCACTAAGTTCACTAAAATCTAAATTCACCTAACTAGCTACCATTGCATATCTAAAATAAATTCAACTTAAATTGAACTTACTTGAAACCATATGGGGGATTTGCTACAAATCGTAGCTCATCATCTGGCAACCAGAATTCCCGAGGGTCTTGAGGTGCGAGAAACGGAAGATGCTCCCATGCCCAGAGTTGAAGTATGAACATCGCACCACCAGCTTGTTTCGCTCCCAACCTCGAGCAAGTACACAACTCGCGGTAGATCCCAGCCAAGACGGCCGACCCCCAGCTTTTTTGCCCGATCTCGTCCCAGTCACCGAGGAGCATATTTAACCACATGCCTTGTATCCACCGGTTTGACTTGTCGGGGAACAGAAACCCACCAACCAAGGCAATTAGGTAGACACGTGCATACCGCTCCGCCTGATCTTCAGGAGTATCCGGGCCTATATTAACCTCCATCTGGATGTGGTCAACAAGCCACGGGATCGATACTTGCCCCGCATTCAGTGGTGGATGCCCCTGACCTTCGACGGGCGTGGTGGTCGGCATGTTGAACCCCAGACGTTCCTGAATCAATGGCCCCCAACCATCTTCTGGTTTTCTCGAGCTGTCGATGATGGCATCTCCGGTGATCGGGAGCCCGGTGAGGATGGCAACATCTTTGAGGGTGATCGTCATTTCACCCTCGGGAAAGTGGAAGGTATGCAGCTCAGGGCGCCATCGCTCTGCCATTGCCGTCAGCAGATCGTTGTCAATATCTAGCCTCATAAAGTGCCTCAAATTGTGCAATCCCGCCCTCTCTAGATAGGGATGCAGTCGAGGATGCCAACGGGGCAATCGACATGTACCTCGATGACTGATGGGAATAAGTGATTCCTACAAAACAAAAAACACAATATTGTCAGTCAATAGAAAGCAAAATAAAAACTTAGAAAGCAAAATAAAAACTTTAAAACTATTGAAATAATTTTAGTGTGTCTACCGGATTATTGTTCCAAATTGAACGAGAGCGATGTTGATCTTGCCCGGTTAAATACCTTCGATCCCTTGGGCCAGGATCGATATACAATCTAGGGTCGTATATCTCAGCACCCATCTATAAAAAAATATGAAATCAAATCAATTTAAATTTTAGCACCCATGTAAAAAAAAGCACAAAAGAATTAAATAAATTTACGTACTCTCAAAGCCTCTTCGTCCATTTTTTGCCGAAAAGCTAGCGAGAGTATCGACAAAACAACAAAACAAAAACTCTAGTAATTCTTTCTGATGCGGAAGATCGGACTTAGCCGCAACCACAGAGCATACTTAGAACGAAACTAGAGTGAAAAATGGAGGGAGAAAGAAGTATAAAGTGGTGGTGTGGTTTGGAATGAGGGGGGGGATGGGTATTTATAGGGTTTGGGGCTGGGAAAGACCTGGCCAGTTATCACCGCCCCAAACAAACACAGCGCCATCACCGCGTCCAACAAAGGCGGTGATGGTCAAGGATCGCTGACGTGGCCTCTCCTGATGCGTCGGATTGTGGAGAAAAACCACAATCCGCGCATAACTGCATCCGACGGCAGCGGTGAAGGCGCGGGGTGGGGCGTGGATCGCTGACGTGGAAAGCGGGGCGATCACCGCTTTGGTCTTCAGCGGTGAAGTGCCCGCGCGCGTCCACGTCAGCGATCCGCGCCACTTCACCGCTGTTGGATCCAACGGTGAAGGCTTCACTGCCTCCTACATCAACGGTCTTGCCATCACTGTCGTCCTTGACAGCGGTGATGACATCACTGCTTTGGTTTAAAGCGGTGATAACATCACTGCTTTTGTCAAAAGCGGTGATGTATCATCGTTTTAGACCAAAACGGTGATCAACATCACTGTCTTAGACAAAGACAGTGATGTTGAAACTGCTGTACTTTAGGAAATACTTTTATAAGTACTGTATTTTGGTAATTTTTTTTAATAATTGGTGTATTCTGGGATTTTTTCCACATATCGAGGCGTATTTTGTGCTATTCATGTGCTTAAATGCTTGAACATCGTCAAATACATCCCTATTCCGTTCCTATTTGATTTTTATGTGATTTTAGGGTGTATTAGTCGATATGTGTGAATTAGGTACAAAACAAGGTCACAAGTGTAGAGAAGGGAGAGGAATTGAAGATCGTGGCCTAGAAGCCGAAGATCAAGGTCGGGATCACAAGCCGCAAAGTCCAGCTGAAGATCGCGGCCCAGAAGCCATAGATCGCGACCGCGATCTTAGAGGCTCAGGATGCGAACTTTGTGAGGAAAGAGATTTGGAGAAGCAAAGAGCATCCTCGGTCGAGTCACGGCCAACGTTCATATTACCCGCGAGGAAGATCGTGGCACCGACTCAAGGATCGCGACCGCGAAGTCAGCCTGCAATCTTCCCCTTCCCGAAGGCCTCGACGACTGCATTTTGAGATCACGGCCCTGAGACCAAAGATCTCGCCTGCGATCTCCTTACCTCGGGCCGCAAACGTATCCGTGTCTCCAAAATTTCCTAGAAATAGAAGACCCCTTTCCCCCTTTTTAGTTAAGCTAATTTTGAGAGAAACTTTCCGGTTCTAGAGAGAGAGAAGAGAAAGAATCTGAAGGAAGGAGGAGCAAGGAGGCATCTTCTTCAACCCCAAGTCTTCTTCTATTTCTACCAGTATCTTCTTTCCTCCTTTATGGAGTAGTACTCTAAGGTACTAGGGGTTCAAAACCCCAAACCCTAGTTTTAGGGTTTACTATGTATGTATGGATATTTTAGGGTTTGAATGAATTAATGAGTTTGTCTTGTTGATTTTAATGCCACTCTTTCCTAAATGATGACGCTTGGGTAAGTCGACCAAATCTTTCCTCTTATCCTACTTTATGCTACCGCACTGGGTATGCAGTTCTAGGGTTACACGGGTATGGGCCATCTGGCGAGTTTAGGTTAGATGTGTGAATGGGGGCCTATAGTGGTCGAGGTGATCGAACCCCTAATATAGGTATCCTTCCTAGATGGAACCCGGGATGAAACCTCGGTGTGCATGGATGGATAGTGTCCATTGAATTGAGCCATAAGCTTAATTCCCCGGATACGATAGCCTAGATCGAGGTGACTGGAACATGGGTTTAGGGGAGGCGTACTAGGAGGTGTGTGGATAACCATGAAGCCCAAGGAAAAGAGCTCACTCGCCACATTCGATGACCCTAAGTATCTAGTTTTACATAGTAACCCTAAGCTAGGGGGAGGGATAGTTCCCCAAAGTACCTGCTTTTAGCTTTGATCAATCTCCAGACTAGTGTTTCCTCATATCCTCCACTCAAAACCTAAAAAAACTCTTTAACTAATTAGCAACTAGGTGGGAAGTATGCTAGGGTACCAAGGCCCCAGTAGAATACGACATTGATTACCACTATACGACAATGTCGTTCTAGGTTAAACTTGGCCTAGGATGGTATAGTTGTTGATACGTGCTAACCTCTGACAATAACCTGCAGAGATTCAAGTGATCAATACTTCCACCCTTTAACATTAACAATTAAACACGTGGGAGTTGTAATTACTCGCCACCCTAAAAACTCAAACATTATAATAAACTTAAACATTTGCCTTTACTTTGCGAAAGTTGTTCTTACTTCCTTCCTTTAACATTATCCTTTAAATGAATTTGTGAGAGTTGACATTACTCTCCACCCTTAATCTAAAAAACTAGACACTCTCCTTAACCTATGACCAGCGCGTTCGTATCGTCGTCCGGTGCCATAACCTTCTAGGAAATGGCCCGCGTTTTGATTCGCCATTCGGTCCCATAACCTCCTAGGCAATAACCTGCGTGTCGATTTGCCATCTGGTGCCATACCTGATCAACTACTATGTATCGTAGTGTCGTCTAGTAGTGATCCAACCACCCGTGGGTTTCCTTTTCTTACTAATACTCACTCATCACATACACATCACCTTCACCTTCATTAGGCCGTGAAGTACCTAAAAAATACACATCACATCACATGCCCTCACCTTCATTAGGATGTGAGGTACCTCAACATATAACCATATGCCTCATACATTCTCAATTCTCCTTAGTTTAAAAGTCTAGGAATGGAATCCTTAAAAATGCATCTCAAGTAACTATAACTCATAATTGAAATACTTTAGTTAATTATAACCAAGATTGCTCTGAAACATGCATCTCAAGTAATTATAACCATAGATTGTGTTGGGATGAATAGCTTTGAAAAGCTATAAATGAAATTCCTAATTAATTATCCAGTATTTTCCCATAATACATAAATAAGATGGATAATTAATAAAAGGAATATTATGGACATAATTAGTATTAATTATCTTAATATATTATATTTTAATTATGGGAGTAATTATCTCCCTAATTAAAATGTGACTTATTCCCAAAGAAAGAGGGAATATTCTGGGTTTTCTGCTCCTATAAATAGCAGACGCCCCAGACCCTCTAGACACACCTCAGAAGAGCAGAAGCACGAGAGAGAGTGAATTCATAGAGCTCTGGTTTTTCGCACAATACCGATGAGCAAGAAAATTAGAATAACTATTTTATCCTGGAGGCGACCGGCTGATAGTTTGCTGTGCGCAGTACGAAGCAATGCCGCGAACGTTTTTAAAAGAGCGGCCTAGTTCGCGACTCAGCCAGATCAATAACCCTAATTTTTCTGTTCGGTTTCTAACAGACTGCCCTGAAATACTCTAGTTAATAGTTGGATGGCCTTGAGACTTTGACACTGGTGCAGTACGTGACTTCACTCTAGTTCCCAAAAAGTTTGGAGCGCTTCCTTCCATGTAATTATTTCTGCATCATATTCATTGGCGAGATCTCTAAATGATGCAAGTAACAAGCTGCTTTTTCACCGATCAATGGCGCGATGGCAAAACGAGGATATCGTACATGAACCCCACCAGCTCGGCCCTTCTCCCGATCATCACTGCCTGAAATCCGCATGTCTCTTTAATCTACACAATAAATACAAGCCAAATAAGAAAACTTAAAGCCCCATTTAATCTACACAATAAATACAAGCCAAATAAGAAAATTTGAAGCCCCATTTCAAATTTCGTACATTCAGAGTGAAAATAAGAATGATATTTTGGTCTTCTCAATTACTTGTTTTATTCATTAAAAAGACACTTACTAGGATTCGAACCATGACCACTTTAAAAAAAAAGCAAAGATCATAACCAATCACACTAAGTACATTTATAGTATTTTTTTAATTAAAAATATATAATCGCAGAGAGGAAAAAAACTCTTCCCCCATTTCAAATTCCCTGCTCCATGAGCGTTTGTAGGAAGGGTAGAATAGGGAGTGCCAATTTTTTTCTTTTTCCTCTGTGGAATGGGCCAACTTACCGTACACATGCGGATTTAAACGGGTCCAGGAGTGTCAATTTTTTTCTTTAAGTCCTTTTATTTTTCCGTGTTGGTAAAATTGAAAGAAATAAAACCCCCAACAACCCGATCACTGTACCACCACTCTACTTTCACTGTATATTTAGACTCATCTTTACTGTTCTAACCTGGCGTGGATTGCAGTGTGGGTGGTTGAACGTGTTCTCTGTTTTGATTTGGACTGCATAGTTGGCTTTGGACGACTGATGAGACTTCTGGGTAGAAGGTTCTCTTTCTGGTTTGGCTTTCCTCGCGTTGGTCATGTGGGAACAGACAGCTCCCAGTTGCTGCCATGGTTAGTTGGTTTGGAGTATATCTTTTCACGTCGTTTGAGACGATAGGATTGGTATTACCACCACAAAAAACGAATCGCTATTTACCGCCCGTGTAATTACTATTTGCCGCCCGTATAATTATAAAAAAAGTCAATTTTATCCTTCAACACTTTAGAAACCAACTGGCCGGATTTTTCTACCCTGGAGAAACAAACCAACCGCCGACCTCACCTTCCTCTTTTTTGTTCCGCAAATACCGACGACTAATCACCCTCACCTTCCTCTTTTTTCCCCGCAATTCCCGTCCCGGCTACGATTAGCCTTCCTCTTTTTTCTTTCCCGATGATCCCTCCACCATCGTAATCCGATCCGCTTCCCGGCTCCCAATCTCCTCACGGCGGGCGAGGCAATTGCCATGGGAGCCAGACCTCCGAAGGAGACGGGTGGTCCGACGGCGAGAATCGGACGGGATGGATAGTCATCGCCGGAATACGGACGAATATGGGTGGTTCGACGCCTGCAATCGGACGGACGGAGATGCTCGGTCCGACGTCGGGGTTCGGACGGGGTCCGTGCGCCGGCGTCGGATGGGGTCCGATCATCGGACCGGGTCCGCACTCTGTCGTCGGACGGGGTCCGATCAACGGCGTCGGACGCACTGCCGATGACTTTTTTGCGGGAATTAAAGTGATTTTTTATAGAATTGTGACTAAATAATTATAAATCTGATAATTAAGCATATTAAAGAGAGTTTTTAAAGGTCAATTTTTCGGTTGCTATATTTTCGGTAGAATATTGAATAGAGGATTTTTATGATAAAATTTGTAAGTTTACATTAATAAAATATTTTATTTTGAGTAATAATTTCTCCGAATGAAACTTTCCTAATTAACCACCTCTAATTTGTTTTCCCACTCATCTAGAGTCGATTTCGCCACCAATCTAATTTGTTTTCTTTAATTAAAACAAATCACCATTCCACAAACTTCCTTAATTACCCACGTCCAATTAACAATGGAAACACTTAATTGCAAAGAAAAAGGAAAACAACCATTTATTACTTTAAATACCATATTATTATATTTAGTAATTAATATATTTAAATTGTTTTAAATTGTAAAATACCATTTTAAGTAGTTAATAAGCGAACGTAATATGTATTTCTTTACTTTTTTTTATGAAGTATATGTATTTCCTTACTTAATAACAAGCGAACGTAATATCCTCCCTAATTATGGAAATTTCTCTAATTAACCCACATATATCTATTTCTCTAATTAACATCCACCGGTAATTATGGAAATTATTAAATAAGACAATACATGGAAATAATCCCAATTAAGGATCATCCCTAATTGACAAACGTAAGAAATTCACTTAATTAACTTGTCTTACCTTAATTACCACGTCTAATTCCATAACCCAAGTTTAATTTCATTTAATTAATTGACATTCCAAAAAAATTCTGTAATCAACATGTTGTATTGCATAATCCACGTCTAATTTCAATTCCTTAATTAAAAATAAGAAAAAATTCTTTTAATTAACACGACTAATCCCATAACCCAAGTTGAATCTTTATCTCGTTTTATTTTTAATAGAATCCTCGTTAATCACTACCAACCTAATTTAATATAATTATAGTTTTTTGTGATAAACACAATTATAGTTAATCACTACAACATCTTTCCTAATTAAATGATAAAACTGAAATTGATATAAAATAATAACAATTTGCCGCCCGTATTGTTTTGATGAAGATGAGAGAGGGAGGAAAGAAAGTCTAGTCAAACGTGGGAAAGATTGAAGTTAATTAATAAATACTTATTGACAAATTATTTTTTAGTAACATTAATTAGGAAAGGAAAAATAATGAATTTAACCCATGTCTCTCTCACTATATCGGATTCCGGGTTTTTTCCTTCGTAATTTTCGTAACCACCATCCTTGGGAGATCCCGCAATTAAATTAAAAAATCAATTTAATTAAATATAATCACTTCTTTCCAATTAACCTCCTTCGATTATCAAACAAAAAAAAAAATTAACCTCCTTCAGACTTTGCTTCCCGTGGAATACTCTCTCCCTCCTCTCCTTCTCCATCTCGACTTTCAGACATGGTCCGACGCCGGAGATCGGACGGGGTCCGACCGCCGGCGTCAGGTGCTGGTCTGGCAGCAGTTGGTGGTCTGGCGGCGGAGGTGGTCTCATTAACGGCGGTGATGGTCGGCCGGCGGTGGTTGTCGGTCGGCGGTGTTGGTCGGCTGGCGGTGGTGGTCTGCTGACGATGGTGGTATGGTGATAGTGTGAGGGTGATGGAAGGAGTGTTGATAGGGGCAAAAAAGTCATTTTAACTTAATACATGAGCGGCAAATAGTAACCCTCCCACAAAAATAGTCTGCCAAAAAATCACTTCTTGCTGAGAGAGAGGGGGTCATGTCAGGGGCGGGTTTACGTTTTAGTGTTTTTTTTTTTCTTCTCTGCTTTCATTGAAGTTGATCGTGGCTTTTCTCCTAACACATAAAACTCACTCACAGGCGCAGTATCCAGTGAGCACGTCAATCATTTAGTCAAGTCGATGGGTGAAAAGTAGTCAGATGGGTGCTTTATCTTGGTAAGAGAAATCAAGAGGCATAGCATTCTCAACCAACCCTCTTATCAATATCTTCTTTTCACTCTCTCTCTTTCATTCATCCCTTTTTTTTCTCTAGGATCTTCTGTTTCTCTTTCTGCTTCTTTGCTTGGTAGTTCTTCTCTCTTAACTCGGTCATTGCGAGCAGAGATCTTAGATCACCCAACCTTGGCTGGTGGCGATTTACATCTCGAGATCCTCTCTCTAATGAAGAGGAAGATGTGGAACTGCATATATAGAATCCTGCAATTACAGGTATGTTTATTTTTCTCTTATACTTTTCTTGAATTGATTTATGCTATCTCTGTCTGCGTCGCAAGTTTATTTCTGATCTTTTATTAGAGTATATATTTATATTCTGTCTTTGGGTTTCCTGATAGGGATTTCGGAGGCTGAAGTATTCGGTTGGAGTTACTTGCGACGAAGGGGTGGAAGGGATTTGAAGAAAAACCAGATCCAGATATGGGTAGGGGGATTACTCTCTGTTTTCGTAGATGGGTCTCTCTATCCTAATTTCATGGATAGCTCTGTCATCTCTTTAATCCAGCAGATCCATCTATTTGTTTCAGGTTGATATTCACCCAGGTGGCTTCCCTCTTCCATCGAGTTTGCTTGGTAAGGACTCAGGGTGATGTTGATCAGGTGTTGCTTTTAGTCGAACACGTCCGTAGAGAAAGATTTTTCCTTCGACCTCCCCAAGGCCAAGAGGGGATACCTATGGTATCATCTTATTTCCTTTTTCTTTTTCTCTTCGCAGCAATGAATTCAATTAATCTCTCCATTTCATTCCTATTCCAGGAATCAGGTAATCAAGCTCCATCCAGTTATTTGAAGTGGAGGTCTGTGCTTTGAGGTATTGATTTGTGGATTTAGTTCATTGATTTAGGCGATATGTGCACCTAATTGGAAAATAAAGTTTGAATCTTGAGCAAGTAACTGACTGACTAACAAGAAGCTTCTCATTTCTTTTGCTTCATCATCGGATCGTTTGTTGGATCAAGGTGTTCTTTTGTAAGTAAATTTGCATGCATTTATCTGTAATGATACTTGCTCTGGTTTTTCCTTTTTGTTTTAGTGTCATTACTAATGTTTGCTATTCCGTCCTCTTCTTTTCGTGTTGAAGGCAAGTGTATAAATTGGGTACTACATACATTGTCAACCTCCTCTCTTTCTTCAATGTAATGTGCATGGTTTTCGATTTCTATGGATTTTGAAGTAGCTTGCTATGTTTGTAATGTCTTCTGTTTATGTTGTTAGATTAGGGTGGGAAGTGAGATGAGTAGCAAGCAAAATAAACAAAGCTGCTGAGTGAGCTTTGTTTTGCCAAAGATGTAAGGATTTTGCTTGGTGATATAATCGTCGTTGGGTTCTTTCATTATGGTCTGGGAATTTCAGCTGCTGTAAGGAGTTCCACAATTCTGGGTTGGGGCATGAATGAAGCATATAGTTAGTTAAGTGTACGTAATGCATTAACTAAATCCTGGTAACTATTGACTTTCAATTTTTGCTTGACTTTTTCTACAACTTGACTTTCCTTTTATTCTCTATATTTATATTTATGCTTTGCTAACGGTTGTTTGCAGTAGCGATGGGAAGTTACAGGCTGAGGCTAGGGATCTCTTGCAAACCCGGTGACCTTATAGAGGATTTCATTTACGAATATTAGCCATAGTCAAATGTATTTTTGTTTACAAAATATACACATGTCATGCTAATGGAATCTAAATTTATGTTCATTTATTTGTTGATTTCGGTGTTGAGAGTGATTATTGAATTGTTATTTACCTAATATAATGATTATACCATGTTGCTGTTGAATTTTCTGCGGAACATAATAGTTTGTTGCACGTTGTTTATGTGTATACTAAATGCATTCTGGAATAGGAAATTTTTGGTGGATAGCCCACGAGCTAATTAGGTCATTATTATTATGGGCAGAATACACGAACAACCAATGTGCAACAAATCGTGATGTTCAATTGATTTTGAATTATTAACTTTCCCTGTTAGATTGACTAATTAAATTTATGAACCCACATCCCGTCGCGAAGCGCGGGCATTAGAAACTAGTATATATGAAAAGACAAAAACAATACTCCTTTTTATTGCTAAAAAGAAAAAAAATTAACAATAAACTAATGCATGGATTCTAATGGGTTGACCTACACGGGATTTGTCCATCAAGTAAAACAAATGAACATCATGGGTTTGTCATTCTAAAACAAGCTATTTTCTCTAGCATAATATATATTATGCTATTATTTTATATCTTAGTGGCTAAAATATAATGTATAAAGTTATTCAATGGTTCAACCTCGACCAACCCATATAGTCTAATTTTTATAATTTCAAATATATATTATGTAATTATTTGATATCATAATGATTAAATTATAGTGTATATTATAGGGAATCATTTGGTATTTGTTAGTAAAAAACTAAACATAAAGATCTATTTGGGTTATTTTTAACATTAAAAACGATCCTAAACATTTTTCAGTTTCCTTTCGAAATTCTATAGTTTTATTCCCGAATCAGTGATGTGCAAATGGCGAATTGCAGTCATCTCTTTTCTTTCATTATTTTTTATTTTCAAATAGAAAGTTTAAAAGTAAAGAATAATTAGAGTTTGGCATGGGTCGGTCAAACAGGCTGAATTTCAAGTTTTGGCCCGTTTTGATCAAGTCTAATTTATAATCACATGGTTCCCTGATACCCGATAAAAATCTCAATCCAAACCAGTTTGGCAAGTGAGTGCGTGTTTACCACCATTTTCTAGGGATACAGGAACGGTGGTTCGTATCCCATATCGTGTTGTTCATTCTTGATTTCTTTAGATTTTATCATGGCTTGACAAAAAACCAGAAAACACAATGATGACAAGATGAAAGTTTTATAAAGCAAATTAATCGGCCAACGGGCCGAGTAAAAGCTAGCAACGATTGTGAGATGCTCATTTCCCGAAAACTGGCGGGATAGGCGATTTTTTATGAGATTTTCTAGAATTCGGTTTCTATAAAACTTACTCCACCTCATCATATTATGAGAAACAATATTGTTTCACAAGGTAGCAGATACTTGATTTTGGTTCATAAGGTTGATTTTTGATTCGTTGCATCATTCATGACTTTTTCCTACTAAAATTCATTATTTTATCACGTGTTTCCAAAATAAAACTATATAGCAATAAACTATACACCTCATTACATTATCAAATTTTATATCTCACCTTCCTCCGGCCAAATGGCCGGGGCCACGCTAGTAGAGATATATAGTCGCTGCTTTTGGTGCGATGGACAAGAAGCCTTCCATCAACTACCCATCCCACGTGCCTGGTTCCTTGCTTGCGCTAACCTCCCCCCTGGCCACACCATTTTTCCATGCAATATGAACTCTAGAATAAAGTGAACCAAATCATAAAGAGGAGTCAAATCGCGGGCGGGGACTCTTTGTTTGCGTCCTCTTCCTTCCACGACGTGTGATTCCTAACCCTGTGTTTTTATAGGAAGGAAAAGGAAGGGAGGGAAAGAAATGAATGGAAAGTTGAGGTACCAATGCACTTTCCTCTGTTTTTTAAGTTTAGAACAGTGATGAAGGGAGGGAAAATGGGGGAAAGATTACTGTGGAATCCAACCCTCCAAAATGGAGAGAAAACGACCCACTAACAGCCATTTTGTTTACTTTATTTGTCATCTCTCTTCTCTCTCGTCTCTTTTATGTATCTTCTCACCCATTATTAATTGTAGTGACCTCTCTTTTATGTATCTTCTCACCCATTATTAATTGTAGTGAGTTATAGATAAAAATGTCTAGTAGAAAAACGTGCATAATTTATTGGGTTTTATTACAATGAGAAAGGGAGCATAAAAAATTATAACAAGATGGTGAGTTATAGATAATGATAGGAATAAGTAAATTTGCTTATCTATTTCCGTTGAAAATTGGTATTGATCCTTATAATTAAAATAATGGTCCCTAGGTCATATTTTGTGGTGACTTGATATGAAAAATTACGCATCAATATAATGTAATGAAATTTTTAGTTTGAATTCACATTGTTTTTGCAGCTCATCTAGGGCTGTGCGCAATGGTCCGGACCGCATCGGATCAAACAAACGTTTGGATCGAATGACACCAAACATATTATAATGTGGTCCGATTCCTAGTCACATGAATTTTATAATTGTTAAAGAAAATGGATTGAATTAATATTTGGATCAGACCAAGCCAGACCAAATGAGTGATTTACATCACGTATAACGTTGTTTTACGCTATACCTAAAATGTTACGTTGCTAGTAGAAACGACATCAAAGTTTGAAATTTTTATAGAATGAATGTTAGGGAGGGGCTAGTGTGATTTGTTGTATGTTTCCGATTTTAGTTGTTATGTTGACGAATCAATAAAATGGAGACAAAATTTTAACAATAAGTTCATAAAAAAATTCAAACCATCTACTTTTGATTTTTAATAGTGAACAAAATTAGCAAGAAATTACAAATTTAATTCACAATTCATAACTAATGAAAATAATATCAACATATAATCAAATTATTTTACTATTATATACCCAATAAAATAACATATCTGTCACATTTCCCTATACACATTTTCTTTCCCACTTTCCTCCATAAAACACCATTTTCCTTCCAATTTCCTTCACCTCCAAATCTCCCCTCCCCTCCTAATTTTCCTTCACCTCCCCTCCTTTTCCTCCCTTCCTTCGTAAACAGAGGGTAAGAGAATAAATGTAATGCCTCCCATGACCCGCCATTGCTCTGATCGAATTCTTCCTTTCGCCAAGAGCGGCTAGGAAGAGCGAGCTGTCCCCCTTTGTTTCTTTGTGAGAGGCTTTTAATCGGGTGAGGAAAAAACTGCAAGGTTTTTTTTTTAGGTGAGGCCGAGTGGCATAAGGGGTATAGGGTTTAGTTAGTATTTTGGGAATTTCAGAATTATAGGTGACTGCAATTCAAAACTCAGTTAACGTCCATAAATTCCTCAGTCTTATGTCAAAACTCAACACCGTTTCAATCGAGAGTTTACATTTTTAGTCGTCATTGATATTATGGTGGAATTTTACAAATTTTGACCAAGGAAATAATGGTCATTTTGACTTAGAAAAGGATGGGGTGTAACATTTCTCCCCTTGAAATTTGATTAGAACTCATAGACAACTTGCTCAGCTAGCTATTTGCTCGATATAACTATTAAATTCTCCATTTATAGACAACTTTGATGTTGTGGTGGTTTCTCAAATCATCTTTTGATCACCGAGTTTCCTTAAGGTCTCCACTTACGATACCTTAAGCAACTTTTCTATTAATTCACCAATACTTTGACCCATGATGTTCTCCTTATCACGACTGTTGATGCACCTCCTTGAACTCCATGGCATAAAAGTCAATGGTTAGCGTTCGACTTGCTTGCTAATACTCGGTTTGTTTGATTGCTTCTTACCCCTTCACATCGGCTATGTAATTCGAACGTATGTAGAGCATCCACTATCTCCATCATTTGGTACATAAGTAGTTAATGCCCACTGCGAACCCCAAAGTTACTAGTGGCATCTTATACTTCTCCTTGTAAGATCGTAAAACTCATTTAACTCTTGTCCATGGTTTACCACGTAGGTTCCTAGGTCCTTGTACATTTTAACTTTGCATCTCTTTCTTCTTTTCTTTAGTACTCCGTCATAGCCTTAACCATCAATTTAATGGTCATCTCCTTGGTGACTATTTCATACAATTAAAAATCCTCCTGCTAGCACTTCTACCTTTCATAACGCATCCAGGATGTCCTTTCATCCCACTATTACGAGTCTCGTAGTACAAATACTCTTTCCATTTAGGATAGACCAACCAGGCAATAGATTTACACCTTTAGGCCCTGTTTACTTTCATTTCTGTTTCCTGTTTTTGAGAAAACAGATGTTGAAAACAGGTGAAAACAACATTTTGTCGTTTCCGAAAACAGCAGGAAGTTGCCACTTTCTGTTTTCATAGTTGAAAACGAATAGAAAACAGAATGAAAAGTAAACAAGTTTTCTCGTTTCGGTTGCCAAATTTATGACATGAAAACAGAAAACAGGAAACGAAAATGAAAGTGAACAAGGCCTTAGGGTTCCTGGACTCCCTTGTCATAACAATCTTCTTATTATCCTCGGTTCATCCTACGTTTCTTATATCGCAACATTTCCCAACTCACATATCCACGAAAATCATAAAGCCTCGAAAGCCAATTATTATGGCTAAATTCATTTCATTAGCTCCTTGTCGGTGACATAGTGGCTAGCATCGCACAAGGCTTAGACATGCTACCGTGTGCTGAAACCACCTTCTAATGTGTTTGGTTTGAACTCTGATATCAATTCCTTAAGGCTTTGGTCATGTAAGGATCAAAATTTGGCTCTACATCACTTTGTCTTACTTTACTTTGACATTTTTCCTTGCTCCTTTAAGCATTTCACTCAATTTAGTCCTCTGTATTCCAAGATGCTCTTCCTCACTTAAATACTTTAACACATAAGGTTTTCATCCTCGACATATCGAGATGAGCTTACTTTCACCTTAAAGTTGACTGATGAGCTTATAAATTCTAGATGGTCTTCATATGATCCAACTGTTCTCCGCTGGCAGTCACCTTAACACCTCCTTTCTGTCTTTCGTATTATTTTGTCACCCCTTCCTAACTATCTTTCTCTCTGAATTCATCTTCATGTCGACTACCACTTCTTACTATAACTTTCACTATAGACTTGTGGTCTCCTCCTTAATTCCCTACTTCATTCCTTTATCAATGCTTT